CCCCCCCTAGCCCGGTGGTCCCCGTCCAGGGTTTTTTCCGTCTTGAGGGTTTGGTTGAAGCTGGGGCTTTCTGGGTGTAGTCCTGGTTTCCCTTAGATCCCTCTTTTCGATGGCCGCTCCTGCGCCCTCCGCCCCTGGTCCTCACGAGGATCAAGGGAAACCTAGGCATCGGGCAACCTTTGCTGCACATGTGTGTGTCACATCCTGTCACACTCAAGATCCGTTTTAGAGTTTAGGGTTTAGGGTTGCTTCAGGCAAAACCCAGAGACTCCAAAACCCCTCAATTAAGGAATATCCCTTAAATCATAATCGGAACCCTAGTATGATTCAAGGTACATTCCTTAATTAAGTGGTTTTGGAGTCTCTGGGAACATCCCCCACCATGCTGTGTGGAATGTCAAGATTGCCACGAGCATGCTGTTATGCAAGCCGGACCCTCCGGCTGAGGAATATGACTTTTCTGCGCTTCTGACATACTGTGTAAGCTACCCCCGAATACATCTAAATTCCCCATTGTATACTATATAGGGGGTCGGGATGATTAGTGATAGTATTCTCTCATGGTCCCTATATCATTCTACTATAATGAGTAAAAAACCCCAAAAAACCCTATTCTAATTATTAAGGCCCCTTAAGTAGGCCCTCTAGGTTGGGGAGTCCTCCTTGGACAGCAAGCTTGCGGCAGTGCATGCCAGGGGCAGAAGCAGCACCAGCTGGCCGAACATGGCTGGCAGAACCACACGAAGTCCGAGAGACGTACGACAACCACCACAAGTTCGTATCCAATCTTCAAAGTTTCAGCAGGAGTTCGACACTTTTTTGGCTCCAAGACTGAAGGTTTTTCTGGTCAAATCACTCAGCGCATCTGCTGTAGCAGTTCGAGTTCTTGAACTCCAAAAGCCCCCGCGGCCAGAGCATGGGCCCAAACGGCAAGCGATACTTCTCTTAGGGTTTAGGGTTTAGGGTTTAGGGTTTAGGGTTTAGGGCGATACTTACAACTGGCATCAACCCCTTGTACTCGGATCATGGATTGACAAAACGCATGTGCGTCTTCCAGTAGATATGATAGTACCCCCTAAACCCTAAACCCTACATTCCTAAGCCTGAACACTGACCCTAAACTTCTGCTGTCCAGGCGCAGGGTGTCGAAGGGCTGGAGCCAAACCTTTCTACATGAAGTTCAGCCGGCTTTTATCTCAAGCGTCCGTAGGCTTGTGGCTACAGAATGCGGTTCAGCTGCCTCGGCCCCTAAACCCTCAAACCCTAAAACCCTAAAAACCTAAACCCTAAACCCTAAACCCTAAACCCTAAACCCCGGGGATGCACAGATGCGAGGAGGGATGCTCTGTGACCGAAGCACTGAGGTGAGGGACACGTCAATTTGCCGAATTGCACGCGATTCGTTGGCTTGGGTTTTGTGCGGAGCGCCGATCAGTGCGACCGAGACTGCTTTGTGAGAGAACAGCAGCAAGAACGTATGTAGACTTAGACGAAACTGTACATAACACAGCGGCAAAAGCGTGCACCGACACCGATGTGGACGCAGCATGAAAAAATCGCCCGAACTGAACCAAAACACAACAATCAACGCAGCCCAGCTACTGCTCCTGGCCGCACCCTTCTCATCAGCCGCCGCGTGAGAAGTGAAAAATTGCCTTTCCTGCAAGTCCGAGAACATGTATGTCACAACATGAACCAATGTTAGAAAAGCTTCATCCACACTGCAACATTAACCGGCATGTCCGCCAAGCAGCCACAGGCGCAGACCGTAGGGATCCGGATCAACTTCCTCAGCAACAGTCACATGTGTGAGTTGGGATGTTCCCCTTATTCTAACAGTCCTTGATAGGGAGTATAGTAACCCCCCCCCCCCCCCCCCCGCCCCTATTCGAATCCCTAGTAAGGACTGTTGGCATAAAGGGAAACATCCCAATGTGTGAGGCCAAACCACAAACACAATGTCGCCAGAACCACTCAAGGCAAAGAAGCAGCCCTGGGACGTTTGCGGAACGAAGCTGCGCAATCTTCTGTGGACTCCCCTAAATGACACACGGCACATCTCGAAGACCACGTGGCTTTGATCCTTTGAAAGTTCTGAGCACAGCATCATGCCACAACGTAAGCTTGTCGGACCTGGCAGTGCCAAGTTGCACGACTGGCCACATGCTTCTCTCATTTGCGGCTTCGAAACCGTGTTAGAACCGTGTGCTGGAGGTCCGTGGCGACGTGCTGCTAATCTAGGAAAGGGGGAACCCAAACCCCAAAAAGAGAAAAACAGGAGCTCACTCGTGGTCCTCACAACCCTAAACCTCTACACCCTAAGCCCTAAACCCTCTTTCAGCTTCTTGAGAGCTTCCGAGACATGAACTTGTTCGACTAATCTTAGGGGGGGGGGGGGGTGTAGAAGCCCAAATAGTAATGCTTCAAAGCCCAAGTACCTCCTCTTGCACTGTTGCGAGGAAATTCCGTCCTCCCGGCTTGTCCTCAGGATGACAGGGTTTAGGGTTTAGGGTAGGATCTAGGGATATCTAGGGTTATATTTTTGGGGTTTCTGGGGCTTAAGGCTTAGGAACCCTAAATGGGGGGAGGGGGGGGGCGGGTGCTATTTCCCATACTATTACTATGTCCCCTATTCAACCCTACAAATCCTAAACCCTAAACCATAAACCCTAACCCTAAACCCTAAACCCTAAAACCCTAAAACCCTAAACCCTAAACCCCCCTAACCTCAATTAACCTTAATTAAGGTATATGAGCCGCAAAGGCGCCCGGATCCACCTTCACACGCGGCCTTTGGACCGCGCCACTCGAACGCAGCACCAAGGAAATGTCGAAACAATACTCCCCTTAGAAAGCCTTAGATAAAAATAATATGTTTAATATCCTCTTGGGATTTTGTATATATATATATAAAGATTTAGAAAATAATCCCTAAGGGGGTATAAGAAACAATGTAAAACGTGGGATGCTCACCCTTAGACCAACAGTCCTTAATAGGGATTCTAGTACCCCCTATTAAATATCATAATCCTAGTACCCCCTACTAAATATCATCATCCTTATTAAGGACTGTTAGCACAAGGGGGAACATCCCAATGCAAAAACGTAGGAATCATAGCTGAGGAACTGGTGCCATCCGATTGAACGAGGAGATCACCTGGACGAAGCAAATGATGCGTTTGCGACCCGAAATCTTGGTTGCTGAGTTCAGAAAGAAGCCCCCCAAAAAGGGTACACTGTCAGTTCAAAAGGGGATTCTAGTATCCCAAAAAGTGTAAAGTGTACTCACTCAGCACTCGGAAATGCGGGAAACACGGACACACGTGGTTGTCACTTTTGCACAGTCCCCAAGGCAAAGGCGATTCTACATGAGAAGCAGGAAACCGTTTCCTAGTAGCCCAGTCACCATATTTTAACAAGGGCACCCTCTTTTTTGGTTGGTTACTAAGGGAACCCAGAACCAAACAAAAGGGTAAAGGGTACCACTGGACTACCAAGGTTTGCAGCGAACATCGCTCAAACCTTAAACCCTAAACCCTAAACCCTAAACCCTAAACCCTAAACCCTAAACCCCAATTTACACTCGCATCGCGCAAGTCGCATACCGGATTGGATCGCGGAAGGCCAAAACCACCTTGGCTCAGCATGGAATGATAACGCGTCGTTCCCAGAAATCCCCCGACAGGCCATTACATGGTTCAACCCCCGTGCGACGCTGCTTTGCGGAGGTTGGGATGAATTGCGGGTTCCAAGCCGCCCTGGCATCAACCTTCCTGAGTGAGCTGCATGCCAAAAATGAGCACTCCGCGACCGGCTACAGCCACAACTTGTCGTGCTCTCCTACTTGCTGAGCTGCAGGATTCTGTGATGTTGCGCATTGGCCGTGGTGTACAAGGATTGGATGATAAACACCCTAAGCCCTATAGAACCCTAAACCCTAAGCCCTAAAACGAAAACACTCGGCAAAACCTGAGCACTGAAGCCACAAAACACCGCATGCATGATGCAGCCGAGGAGCTCGTCGACTAAAGCTTGAACCTGCTTGGGCCAAACTCATTGACATCATCATGCTGCGTCTTGTTTTGTTTTTTTAATGATATATTGTAATAAATATGATTACATTCTATACTTTATGTGTGTTGAAAAATTACACTACCCAGATCCTTTCCTGCGGAAGGTCAACACCAACGAACGTGGTTAGAACGCCATACGACCTATGTAGGGCACAATTGGGTATACAGGCAAGTTCTGGTCAACGCGTTCCAGGGTTTCAACCCGGCTTGCATGTGGAGCTCTACGAACATTTTGGGCAGCAAGGAAAAACAAAATTTGGAAATCACTCCTTCGTAAAGGGTGCTATATAGCCTGCCATCGACATAGAACAACCCGCCTTGCGCGCCGCAATGTCGTGGGAGGCGTAGCGCGAGTCCCAGACCCCTGCAGGGTCAACACGGGGCTGTCGGAAACTACCTGTGCTGAAGTCCCCTGGTACTTGCCCACCACAATCGAGACCACACAGACAGACAAACACCCACACACACACACACACACACACACACACACAGACACTATATATATATATATGTTCTGCACGGAAAATGGAACAGGCCTATTCGCTTGCCAGCGCCACAGCGCGCCACTTGCTCGTTCAGGCGCACCTGGGAATTTCCAGCGTGATCTACGGCATAGGCAGATACGTTTTCGTCTCTCAGGGGCAGAGTTTTGCCCAAGCCCCGAAACCCGCCGAAAAACCATGCTGGCCATGCGGCAACTGTTTCTGCAGCAGGCCAGAAAGCGAAACTCATGAATGCCGGCCTCGTGACAATGTTCAATGGCCGTGGCACACACACACACACAACATTTCTCCTGCCCGTATGCGTGCCAGCAAAAACTACGAATTCCTTAAGAACCCCCAAATAAAAACCAAAAATCTATATATATATATATATGTAGACAGATATATTCTCTTTGTAAGGGTAATCAAGGGGATTGCTATCTTCTTATGCAAATATGGCAAAGCAGCCAAGCATCCAATAGCTTGGAGAGCCCACTGCGTCGCATGCAGGAGCAGGCGCTGTTGGAGTGCTGAAATCCCGGGCCCAATCCTGCAAATGAGCCCTCAGGGTGTACCTAAATAGGGTTTAGGGTTTAGGGTTTAGGGTTTAGGGTTTAGGGTTTAGGGTTTAGGGTTTAGGGTTTAGGGTTTAGGGTTTAGGGTTTAGGGTTTAGGGAGACTGAGCCCTAAGGGCTCCATGTACCTAAATAGGGGATACTTAGGCCTTAACAGTACTTCCTTATAAGGAGTTTGGGTCCCAAGTACACAACAACAAAGTACATGGACCCTTAGGAGAGCATTCCAGGGCAGCGGTCGTAGCGGCGATTTGGCAAAGCACTTGTTGATGTTGCTGCTGGTGGTGGTGGTGGTAACGGCCGCACAACGGATCGCAGTTTTTTTGTCTTGTTTTCCATTCATTTTTTGCTCTCAAGGGCTATAACTACGACGTGAAATCAGCGACGCGAAATAAGCGAAATTATGACAGAAATAAAGTAGAATACGTGCATGCCAATTTCATTTGTTTTCATATCTTAATTGGACGCGTCTTTTGTTTCTTTCTCTTTCGTGCCCCTTAGTAAAAATACAAAGTGAATACGCGGGCGTATGAATATTTGAACTAGCCCGTGTGTGAACAAAGCGTGCGAAATAGCTGCACGACATGAGAATAGCTTCATGTAGTGCATCAACAGGACTTTACAGGTGAACAACTAACTGAGCGCATGAAGTCCATGACAAAGGGGCGCGCGAAATACAGACACGAATATTTTGCCCGCGCTTTCTTTTCGTTTTAGTATGCTGGCGCACTACAAGAGAACTCATTCTTTTGGGTGCGCTCTTTGTATTCTCACTTTATGCGCCCCTTAAACACTATCATCTTCTTTCAAGTAATCTCAACAGGTACAAGCGAATGAAACGAACGCGTGCGTTGTTTACTTCGTTCACTGCCTTACCGTTCGTACGCTTTTCATGGGGCCCCATTTGCAGGAAACATGTGGTTGGAGTGTTCCCTTGTCTTTCTGGCTGGTTCTCTAGGGTGTCTAAGGGGTTCATGGTGATCTGAAAATAGAATCCTGGCTCATGCTCATACATAAGTTCTAAAAAATAATATTCGGGAGTTTTTGTGCGTTCAAAGCATTCCCTTCCAAACACCCATGAAAAGTATAATGTTCAGGGGTGCATGTGAAGGTTAATCGTAATATTCATGTGCCCTGTGAGCATATTAAAAGCAGTTAATGGGAGCCCACGGGGTAAGCTAATCATAACGCTAAGAGATCAAGAGTAAATAACAATCCAGCATGAACTTGTATTGAACACTGTGGAAAGAATACTAAAGGCCGACAACACTGGAGGCATGGAAAACTTCACCATGCGAGGGCTGGGGGGAGAGGGGGGGGGGAGGCGATGTTTAAGCAAAAAAAAGACAAAGGATTTGGCATGGCCACCAATACAATTTTGTTGATGTGTTCTGTCCGTGAGTTTTTGACAAATTTATTTCCACCCCTGGACGCGTGCCCTTCCAAATTTCCCAACATCCCCGTTGAACCGTTGACAACCAATCTGGCCGGAAAATTTCTCTCCAGATAACAAACAGCTCTCTGCCCCTGGCTGCTCCAAAAGCACACGCTATGAAGAAAACCTTGCATGAGGTGTGGCTGCCAACTGCACGAGGGTCGAGCGAGGTCAAGCAAAGCGTTTGCCTGTATATTAGCCTCGAACCCTTGATTGACAACCTTTTTTTGCAGCTGGGACTCTTTGATGCCAGGCAAAGCTGCTTAGCAGCAGAACGCTTCTGAAAGCTGTGATTGACAACCTTGAAACCCTAAACCCTAAACCCTAAACCCTGTTACCTGAAACCCTAAACCCTAAACCCTAAACCCTGTTGCCTTTAACCCGCAAAGAAACGCGAAATACCCACCACCAGGGCCGGAGATGCCAGAGTTTCCGCTACCAACCCTTGTTCTTGTCTTATACTTGTTGTATTTGTTGTCTTGAGATGTTCCCCCTTAGACTAACAGTCCTTAATTGGGATCAGAATAGGATGAATAGGAGGCATTTTTTAAAATTGGAGGTACTCTAATCCTCATTATTTGGTTGCTCTTTAACCCCAAAAAAAAGTTTAACTTTTAGCTACCTTATTAAATTAGAGGAACCCTAAACTTGTAAAGTGGTAAAAGTTGTAGTGAAATCCCACCTAGATTCAGGCATGTTAGTAAAAGCTTCCCACTTGTTGTCCCGGGCCAAATCCTAGTCCAAGTCCAAGTGGCGGACAGTTCAAACGGCACCATGTAGATGTCCTGCCAGAAAATGTAGGCTTGCATTCTTGAATAATTGACTGGGTGTATATATGCGTATACATGAAGTATATATTTTCATACATACATATATATATATATAGGCTCGTCCCGAACGTCTGCGTGGAATGCACAAACGGCGGACCTAACACTGGAGCTGCAAAAACGTGTCCTCTGCTGCTTGCAAAAATTTGATGATGCTCGTGGTGCCCCCACGCTCAAAGCCCGCAACAACAAAGTCAACCTTCCTCAGCATACTAACCGGAAAGACGCAACAGTACTAATGCACGTATATACACGTCACATATCACCAAAAAAAACTCCACTTGGGAACAGCTGAAGAGCATGTCTCGCCAGTGGCCTCACATTGCTGCATGCAGAACAGCAACAATGAACAGCTCCGCCTCCCGAAAATTTTGCAGTAGTTTTGCAGCCACGTCGCTAAGCCGTTGCACGATCATGTTGGCCATGTCCTGGCAGTACATCTGCATACATCTGCCATCGGCATCCATCGGTATGTGCCGGACACAACCACCCCAAATGCTGCGCCCACCTCCAAACGCCCTGAAAATGAACATCACGCTGGCGCAGTCTAGATCAGCAATGTTTTCTCCTCGGGACCCAGCGGGGCGCCCATCGTTTCCAAATACATCGGCAAGGCGATGTGCTTCACAAAGGTTTCCTCACGGTTTGCATATTTGCCACTGCCACGGATGCACGCTGCAAATTCAAGAAATACTGTTCATATCCGTTCTATTAGTGTTCTATTTCAAATGTGCCCGCTCCAGGTCCCCCTGCAGAAAACCCGAGAAAGCATGGCAAAGAAAAAACAGCGAACCAAACCTTGCTACGCAACTCCAGCATGACCGCTGGCCCAGTGGCAAGCGGGCGTCGGTATGGGTGTTTGAAATCAACACCACCGGTGTATGTGCCCGGAGAAGGGAATCGTCATGCAATCAGCGCGGACGGAGCGACACACACACACAGTCACCCACTTGTCGACTTGTGTGCTGCACATACTACTCTTACTACGACTGACCACCCCAGTGCTCTAAATGAGCCCCGTGCGTTGGTCGTTGATGCGCATGATGGAGGGCGAACCTGGTTGTGTGCTCTCGATTCCTCACGCGTGCACCCCGAAGCGACCTTTTTTAAATTGCAATCAATTTATTCACATCTCCGCCACCGGCCCCCAAGCTACATCACATCTTGCAAGAATTCGGGTTTTTGCATTTTGGCATCTGTGGTACTGGTCGGCGTGCACAGCGAACCGACCCCGTTTCGACATCATACAAATGTGGCAAGTATCTTGTCTCTGACTTCTCAGCTCGGCCCTGATCTGTGTTTGCACATGGGTCGGTGCTTGCAATCAACACCGATACGTTCAGCTCGCGCTATGTGGTTCGTGTTGCGGATGTACCCGAAAAATTCTCAGGCCTTGTGGCTGCTATTTGGGTTCGGCGACAGGATGTTGACGTTTTCCTCCTCTGTTGCGTTGTATATCCCTGTGGAACCACATCGCAGTGTTGCGCGGAGTCAGGCCTCAGGTGCATTGGGCAGCATGATGTCCATCGCGAGAACAGTAACAGCTGGCAACTGCGTGAGTTGTCAGGACAGCATCATTTTTGTTTGGCTAAGTTTTTCCTTCGTCTGGGCCCTACCCGGCCTGGCGATTTTTCAGAATCTAGATTTTTTCGATTACTTTGCCATACCTGAATCATTGTTGGTCAATGTCAAGCGTTGCCAGATCTACCATCGCCCGGGCGTTAAACAGCAGAAGGTTGCTACACCTGGTTGGCGTGATCACCGCCCAGTCCATTGCACATTCACGCATAAGCTATGTTATGTTGAGCGGCAGCGGAGCATGCGGAGTGGGGATGCGGACCTGCTGGCAAGCGTCGCGTCGGAAGGCACCCGCCGCCTTGAGCTGCATTGCGTGGGTTGCTGCTTTGGATGACTTGCGTGAAGGCACACCTGGCCCGTATTGGGCCATAGCAACCACCACTAGGCCCATCTAGCTGCAAGTGCAAGTCCATTCAGAAACTACTGGTTGTGCTGCCAACGGGACATCATATCGATGTTTGGGGCCCAACGCACACCCAGTGAGCAAGCGTGCAGCCCTCCGCATGTGTGACAGTTGGCTTGACGGCTAAGCCTCCTGGAATTCAAGCATGAAGCCACTGGCACTTTGCTTGTTGTCACGAGCAGCTGCTCATGCTATGCTTTGCGAACGATCCACAGTTTGGATGGTGTTGGCAAGAGGTTTTTCAAGCATGATTGAAAACGAACTGGTATGCGTGCAAAAGATCGCAGCACATGGTGTCAGAGCGACTGTTCGACGCTGGGAACAGCTTTGTCGCGTGCTTGCCTGCCGTTGCCGATGCATTCCCATCGATGTTCCATGAGAATATGGTTTGCATATTAGAAGCCCGTATTTTAGATAAGGAGGGCAAGGAATGCAACAACAGGGATGGCTGTGGAAGGCAGTGATGGACAGTTGGTTGCATCTCCTCCCACCAGCGGCGCGCGAGAAAGATCTTCGTGCTCAGTGATCAGCACGTTCTTGTGGAAGGCAATGCACGCAATCAAACCGTCGCTGGACACATCATTCTGAATGGCGCCACACATCACTACCATACGCCGTATCGCATGTTGCATTTTTTTCTCGCGCTGCTGGGCTGAGGTGGGGGAGCACCTGCAAAGAGTTCCAGTAAAGCGAATTCCTGAGCGGGTCACGCGGTTCACCGACTGGAAACTCTGGCAGCGTGCACGCGTGGGCGCGGAGAGCCGCGAGCGCTGCCAGGGTGGTCCATCGGTGCACCATCGCTTGGCGGGCCGTTGCAGCGCACCATGGCGCGCGCGAGCAAGCACAGGAAGGTCAGGGTGCTGTGATGAACTTGATCCTAATTTCCCAAGCTGAGATTTCCCTGCACGATCTCAACCTCGATTTGCTGGCTGCGGACGGGCGCAGAATCGAGGTCGTCGCCAACAACCTTCCGATCTGGATGATCTGGCAAGGCGTTCAGATCGCGGTTGACACCACGATCGTAAGCCCTTTGAGGCGTGACGGCGAGCCCCGCCCGCAAGCAGATCGCGAACTGGGCTTTTGCGTGTGATCCTGTAGATATTGTTGCCATTTTGGTCCTAATCGGGACACACAAGGACACACGATCGTTCAAAGACCCATCTTTCGGGGTCGAGCACGCCTTGATTCGAGACCGAGCATGCTCGGTGCGTAGAGCACCTGCACGTGCATTGGCCTGGCAACGGGGAAAGGCGCATCGCCGGTAGAGCAGCTAACGCACACTACTCCCCCGAGAGTGACACCGGATGATCGTCGCCGCCTCGACATGGTCCTGGGGTCACTCCGTCGGGCTGTGCGTTGTGCTGCGACGTGACGCAGGCTTCCCTCCTATCCCGCGACGGACGCTGGTCCCCCCCGTATCCCGCGACGGACAGCCACAAGCCTTGCAGCCGCGCAGGACAGGGCCTCGCTGGCCGCCGATGGTGGACGCGCCTGTCCGTTGCGGTGCAGCGAGCCATGGTGCTGTCGGCAGCCGGGCGAGCATGGCCGGCAGCGACGAGGGCGGCGACACAAGAGCCAACGCTGGACCGAGCCCGCATGCCGCCGCTGAGGCTGTAGAGGCCCTAGCTGACAGTGAACCCGGCACTGGCAGGTGCAAAAAAACGCGCGAAACAAATGTTTGTTACTTCCGTGCGAACACATGTATGTGCGTGTGTGAACACACAACGGGACCATGCTCATGCATGCATTGTTGCTTCGAGCACACATATGTGCATCGTTGAGCAAACAACAAGAGCGGCCCATGGTCGAGTACTATTGTTGCTTTTGTGTGAACACATGTATGTGCATGGTTGGGCAAATCAATGTGGTTGGACCATGCTCATGTGCAAGCATTGGTATCGGTCAGCCACGGAACATTTTGGCCTGATGTTCCAGATCTGCTTCACCGGCGAGCTTTGGGCCATAGGCTGTTTTGATGGAACCTTTACTGCACATGGGTCTTTATGTCCCACACAGCGTAACTAGTGTGACGAAGATATGGATGAACATTGACGCCCCTCCGCCTTACGCCAGCCGTCGACCTCCCGCTGCTGAGTGACTGCTGTGCTTTTGGCTTTGCACTGGGGTCACTCGGCTGTGAAAGACGCGCGCGCATGTGCGCAAAACCGAACGTCTGCCATTTCCGGTGCGATGAGTCGGTGCGTTGACAGGAACAATGTTTTCTCCCACGCACCTCTGCCCCACCACGGTCTGAGAGCTGGCGGCAGCTGTTTCAAAACAGCGGAATGCGGCAAGACGACCGGGCGACAGTAAAAAGGCTGGCCCGTGGAACTGGGGGCGGAGACCAGTGTGGTGCCGACTGTGAGCTGTCCCCACGGGTCAAAACCAGCACGAACTCAATGCGCGTGCCTGGGCATGGAGGTCTCGAAAACGAATGTCGCATGCGATTGCAGCTTTGCCTCCTGGAAGATGCATGTCGCGGCACGATCGAACGGGACACCATGCTGCCGTTGCAGGCCCGACCGGTTTTTCCCAGGACGTCGAGGTGGCGACCGACAGTGGGCTGCATCGAAACGGGAGTGGCAGCTGCAGACGTCGCAGGCCCGGAATGCAGCGCGTTCCATTCCTAGCTCCCGTCGTAGGAATGGCTTGGAGCGCCACTGTGCACGGCAATCAAAACGATTAGGAAATGGACCGTGCAAAATGTTGTTGCTGCTGTTGATGCTGTCGTTGTTTCTGTCGCTGAACCAGCTGGCCTTCCGTAAATCGTCGCATGGGATTGTCGAGATTGTCCGAACGGGAACAACGCGCATCACAACACTTTCTGCATCAGAAAAAATGCGCTTCGTGCTCCGACCAACAGGTATCGGGAACGCACAGGCCTGAACCCGGTCTTCTTCCACTTTTTCCCAACCCATCCTCCACAAATGACGCTGCCGATTTCGCTGCTGACTGCGCTGGGATCAAAGGGGCTGGGCAGCTCAGCGTTTGCAACAAACGTGCTCCCACGTGTGCCGGAAGTCTGAAACATGAAGCCTGCCTGCGGCAGCCTAGGACTGCTAGGACTACTGTATTCGCATCGATGTCATCCTTCAGCTGGTCTTCCTCGCCAGTTTCCCGGGATCGGGCTAGTTCCTGCCAGCTTTTTTGGTCGTGCTATTTCCTGCCAGCTTTTTGGGCAGAATCCCAGAATGGCATAGCTAAAAAGGGGCGCAGCTTCTTCGTGGGTCCGTTTGTCCAGGTAGCTACAAGAAAAAAAGTACGGCCAAGAATCATCGCAGCTGCTTCCGGTCGTGGTGTCGTGACAGCAAGAAACGTTGCGGAATCCTGACTGCCTGCCCTCTTGCGCCCTCCAATATCCCGGGCCGGGACATCGTCCATGGTACCGCCGTGGACGCCGCAATGTCGCAGGAACCCCGATGTGCAGATGCCGTGGCTTGGCCGGCCTGGCTGTCGAGAAGGCGTGCGACGCGCGAAGGGTTGTCAATTTTCCGTCATGCAAAGACAGTGGCGGGCCGGGTTTCGCCGCCCGCCTTCAAAAGGAACAACGTACTCAAGGCATGCGGCCGAAACATCCGGAACCGTCTTCTGGTTGGTTCTGAGTAAGGAATGAGGGAATTATAGGGTTGAAGGTTTAGGGTTTAGGGCCCGATATAATCCCTTAAAGGGCTATATACAGGGCCCTCACTCCCTCATTCCCTACTCAGAACCAGGGGGGGTCTTGTCTTGAAAGCCCCCACACTGCCCAACAAATGGACGGGTGCGGCTGCGCTGTGCTGAATCACCCCGCGACCTCGCACGAGCCAGCCAACCCGAGCTACATGTTTGTTGCGAAGTTCGCAGCATTGCCCACGCAAACGCACTCAACGGTAAATGTGTCTCTGGTCTTGGCCGCTGCGTGCAAGACTCGAACCGCTCGCCAGCACACACCATTCTTGCAAATGGTGAGGCCGGCAGCTATGCATGCCACAAAATATGTACTCGCCCGCGCATAGATGGGCTCCATGCCTGACGTAGAATCCGGCGCGCGCTCGTCGTTACGGACAATTTTAACTGCATATATAACAATCACGCACGGCGATTACGTGAGTGATCCGAGCATCCGGATTGCCCTTATATTCTTAGCCGAGGCTACACTCAGGACGCCCGCGCTGCCTCTATCCAGATGCTGATGCACATGTCGTGAATAACCACGGTGCGCTCTGTGCAAGCAGCCTCGTCGTGAGATCATTGGCCAGCGAGCGCGGCGGCATGCACCCACTTCTTCGTGTGTGGTCATGCGCATATGCGGAGTCTCGCGGCACAGCCGGGGGCCACACGGCCTAGCTGCCACCGAGCCAGATCTCAACTCGTCACCGCCGGCTGCCACACGCATCACATGCGGATCGCGACCTTTCGCGGCGAACATCCCGCGTCTCGATCGGCGTGTGTGAACGTTTGGAGTGCAGCATGGAAGCAGCGACGTTGAATCCCGTATCCTGCGCGCAGCAACACATGTCACCTGGCTGGCCCGTCGTATTACCGGCATGGGCCTGCCACCGTCAGCGCCGAAACTGCACTGCGGGGCGCACGGGGCAGATGTCAGTAAACCGTCCGGAGCACTGTTGGATCTGCTTTGGGTTTAGGGGTGAAGAAAGTATAGCATAACAATAGTACAATACAACACAGAATCATCTCACACAAATATGAAACTATATACACATATAATAAGGGTTTAGAATTCTCAGGGCAGCCAAGACACTGTGTCACATGCCGGCGCAACGCAGATCAAAGCATGCCCAAAGCGCCAGGGAACAAAACCGGCTCCTCGGCAACCCAACAGCCTTGGAAGCTGGCATTGGCTTGATGGTTGTTTGGCCGCCCTGAACCCTAAACCCTAAACCCTAAACGCTAAACCCTAAACCCTAAACCCTAAACCCTAAACCCTAAACCCTAAACCCTAAACCCTAAACCCTAAACACTATGGACCCTTTAGCACCTTGCAAGCAAACCACTGTCTTTCTGAGACGGAGAATTTCGTCTCCACATCGTCACCAGGGCGTCCCAGCACTGGAGCGCCGGAGTAAGGAAACACGCGTTCCTTATTTTAAGAGGGGTTTTGGGTTTAGGGTTTAGGGTTTAGGATTCAGGCTGTAGGGTGCAGATAGAGGTCCCTGCTCCTTGCTAGTACTGACTACTACTTACTAGTCCTTGATCCTATACGAGTTCTACTAGGACTTTTGCTACTCCCACTCCACACACACGGTCCAACTCCCGCTTCTGCTACTCCCCTTTGCATAGTCATGTTGGAGAGGATGAGTTGTCTTCGCGTATTCATGGCGCCCTGGATAGCTGTTGACCTTCTCGCACAGAAAGGCACCGCCACCCTACACAAACCCTAGCATCCGTGTTCTGAAGACCTTCTGCAGCCCCTTGAAAATTCTGAAATCCCAGAACAATTCCCTAAACAATTGTATATGTGTAGAACGTGCTGGCCATTCGTGTCGCTTCTTCTTCTTCATCTTCATCAGACTACAATTTGTTTCTTCCAAGCTTCACCGGGGGGGGGGGGGTGGGGGGGGGGGGGGAGGGGGGGGGGGGGGGGAGATGCATTGCAGATGTCTCCAAGCGCCTGTCGGTAAGAAGCCCCATATCAGCCCTCCTCAGCCTGAACCCGTGACTTCTCCAGTCCGGTCGCATTTTCCTACCAATTGCTTAAAACCCTGGAAAAAAACATGTTCTTCCTTATAAGGGTAATATAGGGATTTTGATGATTTGTGTTTTGGGTGGTTCTTCAGCAAATAGCGGTCTTGGGGCTCCTAACCAACATTGCGGTGCCGTATATTGAGCTTGCAGTAGCCCAGTAACCTCTCATGGCAAGGGCACCCCTTTGTCGGGGTTGGGTACTTTTTCTGAGGGAGCCTTGAACCAAAAAAAAAAAAGACCAAGGGCACCTCGGGGCTGCCAAGTGAAGTAAACCCTATCAACCCTATCAACCCTATCAACCCTCAACCCTAAACTGGCCCCACACTAAACCCCAAATCCCAGAGGGTACCACCAGGCTGCCAAGTTAGGTATCTTTGAAGGGCCCAGAACTTCGTTCAAACCCATGCCGAGGAGCGAGAAAAGCATCAGCAGTCGCCTGCTGGCAATCCTCCGCGCTCCATCCTCGCTCGCAGAGGGGCACCCTAAACCTAAACCCTAAACCCTAAACCCTTTAGGGTATGACCCTCTTACACCCAACAAGGGAAGAGATCGGCCTACCAGTCGTTCTTGGGATCCGTAAACTGTTAAAGCTCTTTAGGACATGGAGCTCTACATCGCTAAGTTATCGACCAACATTTCAGATAACGTTCGTGGTCTAGGGTTTAGGGTTTAGGGTTTAGGGTTTAGGGTTTAGGGTTTAGGGACCAACATATTACCCGAAGGGTCCATGTACCTGAATAGGGAATACTTGGGCGGTAAAGTACCTCCTATTTAGGGAATTTAGGGGCCCCAAGTACGTGATACTGAGGCACATGGACTTTTAGGGTTAGATAAGGTTGGGGGCTCTAGATAAGGCTCAGAACCCCGGACCCAAGATAAGGATGACCGGGGTGCAGATACTGGCCGAGATTCCGTGACTCGTCGCAAGAGATGCAAGAAGCCTCGGCAACAGCATGGTAGCAAACATTCCGAGCTGGAGGACCCTGCAGGCTAGGCTACAAAAGGGGTCGGAGTTTTCTAATTGTTTTCCCTTAAAATAGTCCCTTTTATAACTATACTATAAGACCCCCCCCCCCCCAAAAAAAAAAAAAGCTCTAATTTTTAAGGCCGCTATATTACCTTAGCATAGCTGCGTCTCTAGGAAACCCAACAGCTTCCGCGAAGGCATGCCGATGAGGGGATCAGGGTTTAGTGATTAGGGTTTGGGGTTTAGGGTTTAGGGGTTTGCTAGTAAACCAAGGCAGCCATGAAACACTATGAACGCATTGGGCTGTCGGAGGGTACTGATCATCTGCACGCCAGCCCGGCCAAAGCAGGTGGACTCCCAATTCCATTGCTGACTATGACAAGCGCATCTTAGTTAGACCTACTTGTGCATAAACACCGGTGGGGTTTAGGGTTTAGGGTTTAGGGTTTAGCATGCACTGTGTCTCAACACAACATTCATTGCGAAAAGGGCGTGGCTCTGTGCACTAAATCGTACTGCCAAGAAACGCCTGCGAGCGGGTTGGCTTGCCACGAAAACCACCAAAGGGACGAAAGGGCATCAGGGCATCTTGACACAGTGCTTTGTGCAGGAGGCTGAAGCACAGGAGCGTGTCACTGCTTCAAACACTTCGCCATTTTCAACCTCGCATGGCTCCACTGCGTCGACCCCCTCCCTGGCCACCTTGCCATGAAGTGCAGGGCCAGTTGCCAGCGCGCCACTTTCTGGAAAGCGTTGATGACCGATCCATAGGTAATGTCATCCGGTGAAAGCCTCACTTCTCCAATAACCAAGGGAAACCGGTTAACCTTTCTGTTCCTCCTAAATTAATTCTAAAGGAAACCCTTAAAAAGTTTAAAGTTCAAGTATTGGCTAAGTAAGAAGCTGCATGTGCGGCAGGCTCTCGAACAAGGACGCCGCCACTTGCCATGCAGCTGCGTTGCTTGCCGCGCTGATACACGAGTTGATGCTCACCTATGGAACCAAGTGAACCTAGAAGGGTTTGTGGTTCACATACCTTAGTAACGCAGGGATTAATAGTAGTATAGGGTATAATATGGTTCATATTCCTTAGTAGGGACTATAGTAGTATAGGGTATATGATTCATATACCTTTAGGAAATAATCGTGGTATGGGGTATATGATCCCCTGTCTTCAGGTTCATGTGGGCGGCTGTCAAAATTATGATCCCTTCTGGGGTACCCTATATATATATATATATATAAGGTGCCGAATTATAATAGGGAGCCAAAACGGGACCATAATTTTGACAACCACCCTAAACCCTAAACCCTCGACCCTAAACCCTAAACCCATAATGGTTAAAATTGTCTTTCCTCCAAGGCACCAGGGTGGGCTGGAGGTGCCTCCGGTGCATGTCTTCGGCCAGCAGCAGCGCGATGGTCCAACCTGGGACGAGCCCTTAACAAAGCCCTAAACCCCAAACCCCAAACCCCAAACCCCAAACCCTCTGAACAAAAATCCCTAGAAATCTCATCCTCTTGAAAACTCCAAGTGATGGAAACATTACAAATTATAAAGATGTCCCCTAAACCCTCAACCCTAAGCCCTCTGAACAACAACACCACGAAATCTCATCCGCTTGACTACCCCAAGTGATGGAAACATTGTAAAAACGTCCCTAAGGACCCTATAAAACCTAAACCCTAAACCCTAAACCCCAAACCCAAAACCCTAAACCCTATGAACCCTATACGCCCAAGCCACAGGATGCACCATCACAGGCAGCCATGGCGGAGTTGCAGCTTCGGGCGTCAATCTTCACAGCCATGTTTTCGGCCTGGCGCCTCGGTTTGGCACACTGCGTTCAGGAAATATCCCCTTAAAATATAAAAGGGGTTTAGGGTTTAGGGTTTAGGGTTTAGGGTTTAGGGTTTAGGGTTTAGGGTTTAGGGCTATCTGGTTTAAGGACTATTCCTTAACTAAGGGGTAGTGGAGTCTCCGAGTTTAATCCTTCCGCAGATGCTTTTTTGCAGGCATGATCCTCTTAAACTCAAGAAGGGAACCCTATAAACCCCATGAGCCCTATAGAACCCTATGCACCCTCTACACCGCAAACCCTGTAAACCCTACATAAGTCCTCTAAACCCTAAGACCCTTCAAAACCCTGTAAACCCTCTAAAGCCCGTAAACCTAAACCGAACAGGGGAAAATGCAAAACATCCCAAGGAGGCCCAACCCAGGTGCAACAACGCGATGGCTTGTTGCCACCTCGAAACAGTCCCGCACGCGACCAAACCCTCCGTGAAGGACACAACATCCTTGGGGAACCAAAGGGTTTAAGGGTTTCGGTTTGTTTAATGTTGAGGGTTTAGGGTTTGTTTAGGGTTTACATAGGGTCTAGGGTTGTTTGGAAACCAAACGAAACCAAAGTTTATGGGCTCATAGGCCCCATACTACTAGAACCCCTGGTAGGGTCGAAAAGAACTTTGGGGTCTCATCTAGTCTTAATCCCTGTTCCCCTTTAGGAGGAAAAAAGGATCCTTTTTGTTCACATATAAGAAAGCCCATAACCCAAAAAGTAAAAAGGATCCCTACCACTGATCGAGTAGTTCCCAAGGATCTGCCAGGGAAAGATCCACCATCGACTGAAAGGCTGAAAGTGCCCTACGCCATTTAGCCGCACCCACCATGGCGTGCAAGCAGGTGTTCATGGTTATCACGTCCTTCTGCACGGTTGCAGCCTGGGGAGACAGGGTTTAGGGTTTAGGGTTTAGGGTTTAGGGTTTAGGGTTTAGGGTTTAGGGTTTAGGGACGCAGGTTGAAGGCCAACCATTCCCTGATTGATTTCCTACGCCCGCTAGACCCTTCAGGCTTCACAAGCTGAACGCCTAAACCTCTAGGGTTTAGGGTTGGGATGTTCCCCCTGATACTAGCAGTCCTTAATAGGGATTATGGTACCCCCCCCCCCATTTATACTCCCAACCACAAGGGGGAACATCCCAAGGTTTAGCCCTAAAACCCTAAACCCTAAACCCTAAATCCTAAACCCTAAACCCTATAGCTTCATGAGCCCAGCTCCTCCATGTCACTCAGCACTTGAAGCGCTTCCTTCCATGCGGAGCCTTTTCGACAAGCGTTGACCGCGATGCCGTACCTTGATGTGCTTGTTGGGCGTTTAGGGCTGGCGGGCATGTGGGGTTATGCCCTACACCCTAAACCCTAAACCCTAAACCCTAAACCCTAAACCCTAAACCCTAAACCCTAAACCGCAAATAGACATGTAGAAACATGTGCAGTCCATGTCGTACTTGTTGGCAAGATCTGGGGGGGGTTTACGAAAATAAGGGGCCCCGAGTATAGACCCCCAAACAGTCGGATTCCCTGATAGTAAGGACCATTAAGGACCCCAATAACGATACCCCTAATTGCGGAAACCCCCATTTTGCAAGGTGAACAAAAACAGCGCAATGAGTGCTGCGCTACGAAGTTAGGGTTTAGGGTTTAGGGTTCAGGGTGTAGTCCTACAGGAAGCCCGGTATGGCATGGGGGGTAAGAAAGGCAGCCTCCCTAAACATGGAACCCGAAAGCCGCCAACCCCTAACCCCAACTCCTAACCCCTGACCCCTCACCCCGAACCCGTAAACTCTAAACCCCAAATCCAACTGAGCGCCACGCACGATAGCGTCTGCATAAAGGCGGCGAACATGCCAGGAGTGCAAGAGGCCCAGTGCCTTTCACATGATCGTCAAGGTAAAACATGGTCACTTCTCCAAAATGCGGTCCCTTTTGGGGTTGCTATGAAAATGGTCCCCGAATACCTAGAGTGCCCCAAAAACGGCCATATTCTTGAGAAAGGACGACATATTCTTCGTAGGGCTTAGCCCACTCGTCTGCTCACACACTGAGCTGCAGGTAAAATCCGATAGCTTAGGACTTGCCCTTCAAGACCAAAGCTCACCTTATGCTTGGGGAATTTGCCGTCCTTCTGTCTGAATGTCGTTACAGCCGGTGGAAGTGCCGATGCTCTGGGCGTGCATGGAAGAGATGGGAGGCGTGGTGGTACTTTGAATGGACCCTGCCTACATTGATCCTTTCAAACCCTATTTTCGCTGTGACACTAGCCCTTCTATTTTCAGGTTCCCGGACCCCTTAGTAAGCCCCTTAAATCCTAAACTACCATATACCCTATACCCTGAACCCTCTAACTCTCTCTTACACCCTAGACCCTAAACCCTATACTCTAAACCCTATAAACCCTAAGCCGTATCGTAGCACAGTAACTTTCCGAGGAAGTTGCCCAGCCTGGGTCCACAGCGAGGTGCGCGAGGTGGCCGACATGGCTGCGCCCAAGTGCCTGAAGGGCCAATAGGGTTTAGGGTTTAGGGTTGAGGGTTTAGGGTTTAGGGTATAGGATAGGACCGAAGCCCTGTAAGCCTCTAAAACCGAACCGCAACACTCGGAAGTCATACAAAGCAACCCGGCAACCTATGTGCCCTCATCCTCCTGATCCCCCTAAACCCATGAGCCCTGCACTCCCTAAACCCTAAGCTCTAGGTTTAGGGTTTAGGGTTTAGGGTTTAGGGTTTAGAGTTTAGGGTTTAGGGCTTAGGGTTTAGGTAGTTCCTGCCACCAAAGCCCTAAAGGCTTCATGAAACTCTGAAACTCCCGCCCTGAAACACTAAACCATCGACCGTCGGTCTGCAGATACTCTCGTGCGCCTTGCGCCTACGAGGGCCCTGGGCCAACGATTAGAGTTCAGGCCTTAGGGTTTAGGGTTTAGAGTTCAGGGTTTAGGGTTTCTAGGGTTATAGGGTTTGGAGCTCAGAGTTTTTCCAGGCTCGGGGTCCAGAAATTGGGGTTTGGGGCTGACATTCGCAGAAACAAACCTAGTCAACCCTGAACCCTAACAACAAAGACACGAAATAAACCCTAAACCCTAAACCCTAGCCCTAAACCCTAAACCTTCAGGCCTCACGTTTGGCTGCAGCCGGCTCGCCACAGCATCCTCCAGGAGAGTCGGAGCTTGAGCCCCTGCTCGGACCAGTGCTCCCGTCAGGGCAGCACCTGCTTCTCGGAGGGTTTAGGGTTTAGGGTTTAGGGTTTAGGGTAGTTTCACGGTCCCTTAGTACGGGCCCTTAAAGGGGACCCCTTCTATACCCCTCATATATTCTGACCCCCAAACATCAGAACTCTTTACAGGAGGTAAGAGACCATACTAAGGGACCGTGTAACTACCCTTCGATGCCTCGCACGGACGGGCATGTTATATGAGCATGTTTTTTTCACCCTCTTAGATTTTTACACATTCTTCACTTTGGTATAGTTGTGTTAGTATGCTATTGCCTTCTTATCAACTTCATATATTCACTGCAATTATAATGTTTGGTCTTTCAAATTATATTTCGCATGTCTGGTGAAGTGGATTCCAGTTTATGTCTCAGGCCTTCTGCGAGCTTTCGCGCAACAGGGCCGACTCTTGAAACCGTGGAGGCATGGCTCAGCACCGTCATGAAGCCCTAAACCCTAAACCCTAAACTTACTAAACCCTAAACCCTAAACCCTAAACCCTAAACCCTAAACCCTAAACCCTAAACCCTAAACCTCCGGGGATCTACGAGTTCAAACACGCGTGCTCAAGCCAACGGCAGGAAGAAATATCGAGATGGCCTTCAAAAACTGCTGCATGAGCCGCTGCGATTTCAGTTTAGGGTTTAGGGTTTAGGGTTTAGGGTTTAGGGTTTAGGGTTTAGGGTTTAGGGCACGTGCTTAGCGTCATCAGGACTTGAAGCGTCGAAGTGCCACATTACTTTTTTGCCCCGGCCAAGGCGGACTGGCTCAGCAGCTCTTCTCGCTCCTTTCGACGGCCCACTGCCACGACGTACCTCTTGGGGCGCGGAGTCTTCTGAAAGTCGAAAAGCACCAAAACCCGACACAGGTAGTTCTCTACAATACGGCACCTTTAACATGAGGAGCCCTTCAAAAAGGGAGCCTAATTTAGAGAACTACCCAAAACCCGAAACCCTATGTAAGGTCCCTGAAAATGGTCCCGTACCTTCTTTAAATAAAGGATGATGAAGTATCGGCCCTAGGCTTTTAAGGGTTCCTCAATTCAGGGCCCAACTTTAGGGACCATGTATCCACCCTAGAAGAATGAACGCCAATCCCCGTGTCTCCATCATAAACCCCAAGCCCGCAGCACTACCCCCTCAAACCCTTAAACCCTCAAAGCCTAAACCCTACACCCTAAACCCTAAACCCTAAATTTTAAACCCTAAAACCCTAAACCCTAAACCCTAAACCCAAAACCCAAAACCCAAAACCCTAAACCCTAAACCCTAAACCCTAAACCCTAAACCCTAAACCCTAACCTAAACCACCAAATCCTTAAGCCCTTAGACCCTGAAAACCTAGACCCAAGATCTCCCCAACCCCCAGCCTGAAAACCCACACTCATGGCATGGGGAGGGGCATCCTTAAATCCTTCTAAAACCTTAAACCTTAATTAAACCCTTAAAACCCTAAAAACCCTTAAACCCTGAAAACCCTTAAAACCCTCAAACTACTTAAACCCTCAAGTTACCTAAACCCTGAGATTACTTAAACCCTTAGAAGCACCACACGCATGGCGTGGGGAGGGGCATGATCAGAGGCACCATGAAGTTGATAATCGACGAGGTGGCCAAGCCACCTGCTTCTTGGCCAGTTGCTGAGTACCCAACTAGTACTTGCACCTTATAACTTATAGGGTTTAGGGTTTAGGGGTAGTTGCACGTATAACCCAAGTATAACCATATTAGGGGAACTATAGGGGGCTTGTAAGGGATTATAGAAGTACAGCTATTATTGACTATGAAGTGCCATGAAGCTCCAAGCAGTGGGCAAAAAATGGCTAACCTCTCAATTATGGCTACCTACTCAGATACTACAGGGTGGGGCCCCCTAGTTATAAGTAGAGTTATAAGGGCCCTAAATTGGGTTATAAGGACCCTAAGCTAGGTTATAAGTCCCTTAACTACAGTTAGTATAGTGAGGGGGCCCCACCCTGTAAGCTTGAGGGCTGCAGGATGCTCTGGCTTACGGGTCTGGGGGTATGTGTGCTTTTGCTTTTAGGGTTTAGGGTTTAGGGTTTAGGGTTTAGGGTTTAGGGTTTAGGGTTTAGGGTTTAGGGTTTAGGGTTTAGGGTTTAGGGTTTAGGGTTTAGGGTTTAGGGTTTAGGGTTTAGGGTTTAGGGTTTAGGGTTTAGGGTTGTGTTTTCAGCCTTGTGTGTGTGTGTGTGTGTTTTCTTTTAGCCTTGTGTTTTCAGCAACGGCTTAGGGTGCCTTGGCTGGGGGTTCGGTAGGGGCGTCGAGAACTTAAGGTCGCAGCAGCGTAAAGGCTGTCATGCTGATAACGTAGATGGCAGTGTATATGGTATGGGATTAGTAGTGAAGATATTTCTGTATATGGTATTGGAGATAAAGCCATGGAATATGCTACAGTTAGCCTTGACCAATGTTGCGGTTTGGAGTTTACTGGCTGGGTCCGCCTTCTGTTTGCTCACCCGGCTGATCCGAAGTAGGCACGTCTTAGGTGCTGTCCGCCACTTGGAGGCTCACGGGAACTTAGGATTCGGATTCAAGCAAGAAGCCGGGCAGCTTTCTATCATAATTGCTTATAAGCCGCGTTTGGGGTGCTTGTAACCCTTGTTTGTAACTGCATGATCCTTCAAGTAGGGTCGAGGGCTCTTCCCACACACAACTGAACCATTCTGGGTTTTGCGACACCTGCGTTCCCCTAAACCCTAAACCCTAATTAAACCCTAACACATACCGGGTAGACGGGTCTCTCCTGGTTGGTGAAGGTGTTGGGGTGTTGCTGCAACCTCCAAAACCAACAACCCATGGCCTATTTCGGAGATGGTATCGAAGCCGCTGCCCGTGTACCTTAGCTTCCCAGACCGCTGGGCCCTGGGGGTTTCGACGACCACATGCCCCCCTCCCCCCCCCCGCCCCACACCACCCCCTCCCCCCCCTTCAGGGTTGAGTGTTGACGGTTCACTAAACCCTAAACCCTAAGCATGGGGTTTAGGGCTTGTGTGTGTGTGTGTCCCTAAGTCCTCAACCCTCAACCCTCAACCCTCAACCCTCAACCCTCAACCCTCAACCCTCAACCCTCAACCCTCAACCCTCAACCCTCAACCCTCAACCCTAAACCCAAACCCGAATACACCCTCAACCCTAAACCGCACTGAGTTCAGGGTTGTAGAAGTTCTAAAGACCTGGCGCAAAAGCTGCAGGGGGAGCCCTCGACATGAGGTCGGAACAACTTGAGCTGAGACTCTTGAACCTTAATTAAACCCTCGGCTGTCCAGTAACCTAGGATTCAAAAGGGTGCCCTTTTGGGCTTGAAGGGGTTTATAAGGGAACCTTAACCCCTCAAAAAGGGGAACTCAGGGCACTACTGGGCATCCTAGAACCCTACACCCTGAACCCCATGAACCCTAAACGAACTTTGAGACGAACAAGGCCTATCGCTTTTCGAGCGCGCAAGTTGCCTTAAGACGCACCAATAAGGCTCGAAGACCCGTTTTGGCCCCTTGATGGTCCCATTTCCACTCCGCATGCAAGATCAGCTCTAGCTTGGCGTTTAGATTTAAGGTTCATGCGGCTTAGGGTTTAGGGTTCAGGGTTTAGGGTTTAGGGTTCAGGAGTGCGGCTTAGGGCTTCAGATTTTGAACCCGAAGCAGCCCGAAACCCATTCAACGGGAATCCTTCTCCGAGCAGCAGAGGGATACTCATGAGCCATGGCAAGCCCACGGCAATGAAGGTGGCGGTGACCTTCAGATATAAAAGCTCGGGGTGGCGAGCCACTCCCCTCTCGTGGTTCCCCAAATTTAGGGTTTAGGGTTTAGGGTTTAGGGTTTAGGGTTTAGGGTTTAGGGTTTAGGGTTTAGGGTTTAGGGTTTCCCTTTCTGCCGTTTCATGACCCTGTTCCCCGTAAACCTCATAAACCCTGTCTGCTTAAACTGCCAGTCCTTGCCATTGATATGCGAACGGAACCTCCATGTCTTAATATAGCAGAATTCATTGTCCATGGCAAACATGCAGTAACGTCTTACCTATCACTTCCAGTACCGAAGCCCTGGGTTAGGCCAGGGCGCAGCGCGAACCCTGCAAAACCTGTAAACCCCACAAACCCTATCAATTTTTGTGACTCTAAAAACCCTAGAGACCTCTCTATGCGCCCTATAAACCGTATCAACCCCATAAGCCCTGGAAATCCTGCTTGTAAACCGTAAAAGCCCTAAACCCTAAACCCACCCTAAACCCTAAACCCTAAACCCTAAACCCTAAACCCTAAACCCTAAACCCTAAACCCTAAACCCTAAACCCTAAACCCTAAACCCTAAACCCTAAACCCTAAACTTAAATCCGAAGAACCCTCTGAACTCAAGCCCAGGGGCCGATGAGAGACCTCCCTGGATAAGGTTGCTGCGAATGAGGATGGCCAATACCTGAGCTTTCGCCCAAGGGTTTACGACTTATCGGGGTTAGGGTTTAGGGTTTAGGGTTTAGGGTTTAGGGTTTAGGGTTTAGGGTTTAGGGTTTAGGGTTTACATGGTTTAGTGCTTATAGGGCTTGTAAGGTCTCAGGGTTTAGGGTTAACATGCTTAAGTGTTTAGGGGTATGAGGTTTACAGGCTGTCGCGTTTGGTGCTTTTCAGGCTTGTAGGGTTTCAGGGCTTGTAAGGCTTTTGGGTTTACAGTCCTTAGTGTTTAGTGCTTATATAGGGCTTATAGGACTTCAGGGCTTGTTGGGTTGTTAGGGCTTGCAGGCTTTGGTGTTTAGTGCTTAAAGGGCTTGTACGGTTGCAGGGTTTAAGGTTTACGGGGTTTGGTTCATAGGGATTATAGGGGGTTGAGCGTAGAGCTTGAGCAGCGTTTATGGTGTATAGAGGCGTCTAGGCTTTATGGGGCTTGCAGGGCTTTCATAGTGTTCATAGGGTTAATCGGGTGTGTTCTCATAGGGCCTATAGGACATAACGCGCTTATAGGGTTCAAAGGGCTTATAGGGTTTAGGGTTTCAAGCTTCAGGTTTATAGGTTCTGGGTGAATTACCCTTATAATGCCTTCTGAGGGTGGTGCCAAACGAACGAACCTCGCAAATTCTCACAGAGCAAGGAGTTCAGTGATCAGAAGGGCTCAGCCTCCGGATCATGACCTAAAACCGACCAGCAGATCTGGCGGTAGAGAGGCAGCTACAACTCTGCAAAAACACAAAGGCGGCCTGACCAACCGGAGGGGGAAGCAGGAGGGAGCCTGACGGAGACCAAAGGAGGCGATGCGCGGCGACACTGGGAAAGCCGTTTGCGGTTTGTGCTAGGGTTTCCCATCGGAAGGTCAGAGGATTATCCAGCTTACGAGGAAGAACTCTGAAGAACCCTCTCCCGAGGCCTTAGCGCTAAAGGCTTCGGAGGTTTTAGGGGGATTCGGGTAGCCTATGGTAGCCCAAATGCCAATGAGCGGCCGGAATTGAGGTGACGTTCTGCAGCATTGGGTAGGCAGCCACAGTCGCCTGACCCAGACGAGAGCCACCTGGCGTCGGCTGGCTTGCCGTGTCTATGAGGTGAGAGTTTTTTTTACCTAGTTGCTGAGTACCCTGGCCCCCCCCACCCCCCCAAAAAAAAACGACAGCTTTTCAAAAAAAGTGGGATTGTATATGCCCCAAAAGGTTAAAGGTTCATTATCAACTCAGCTACTAAGTATAAGGGGATTGGGAACCTTGAAACTCTCGAAACCTCAACGAAACCCGAACGCCGACCGCTGTGGTGGCCCCCGCCTGAACACAAGCAGGATGGGCACCCTAAACCCTAAAACCTGAGGGGTTTCGGGTCTAGGGATGTGAGCGAGCAGAACTTACGAGTGGCGACCCGAGAGGGATGGGCCTCTGGGTGTTTTAGAGGGATGTGCGAAGGGCTTTCTGTGCCGTTTTTGAGGAGGATGTTTAAGGGCTTCTGCGAGTTTAGGACACTGAAGCCACCTGACCACTTCACTTACATGCTTTGCGGAGCTGACGGCCAGAAAAATAACAGCTGCCTGCGTTCAGCTTGCTGAACAAGTGCTCATCTGTGGTGTAGAAGGGTGGATAGGCCATTCCTCAGAGACTCTAAGCGATGTGAAGGCCCCTAACCCAGAGGGTCCATTTGTAGTACGATTATGGAATTAGGTACCCCAAAACCCTATTTAGTATGGTTTTTGGGTACCTAATTCCATAATTGTACTACAAATGGACCCTCTGGGTAAACCCTAAGCCCTAAGCCCTAAACCCTAAACGCTAAACCCTAAAGGGCTTACTTCGAGGTTTGGGAGCGGTTTGTCGCCTTTGTCTTGCCGGCAGTTCACCGGCCGGTTCTGGTGAACCCTGAACGCCCCACCCTCTTAACCAATTATCACTGTACTTATGGCCAACTCATAAGCCCCCTTAAGTGACAGCGGTAGCACATGCTAAGGCAATTAATTCTCACTGTACTTATGGCCAACTCATCAGACCCTTAAGTGCCCTAGTATGGCTAAAGACTGCAGCGGTAGCACATGCCAAGGCTTTTGGCTAGGCCCAAGAGTAACCTAGGAATAGAAAGGGTACCCTTTTTTCCTTTAAAGGGGCTTAGCAGGGAACCCGAAAAACCGGGACAAAGGGAATACTCCGAATAAGGGAATACTCTGGGACCTAGGTGGGTGATAATTAGGTATCAAGAGCCCTGAGACATGGGCCCGGAGAACCTTTAACGACCATAGATTATCCTTGGATGCCTTACACTTGGCTGCACGCAGGAGGGTAGCTATAAATTAAACTTTTAGCTGCCTTAAGAAGAAACCCAATAAACCAAAAAAAGGTAAGGATCTAAAGTTACAGTAAAGCACCACAAAGTATCCTTGGATGCCTTACAGATCCGCTTTGAACTCGCCGTGGCTCCGCCGATCACACCGATCACCGTGTAGGTGACAACCTCGACGACTAGCTGGCGGCGGGCATTTTTGTAACCCTTAGCCCAGACCCTAGACCCTAGACCCTAGACCCTGAACCCTAAACCCTAAACCCTAAACCCTAAACCCTAAACCCTAAACCCTAAACCCTGGTTGAGTTTGGGGCTGTGGGAAGTGTCGCACTTGAGTTCAAGAGCTTCGGGGTTCCCAGAAAACAAAAACCCAAGTCCCCCAAACAACCCATAAGGAACCAGAGAGGCCTTAATATGAGTGAATCTGGGTACCTTACATCACCCTAAACGCTAAACCCTAAACCCTAAACCCGAAACCCTAAACCCTAAACCCTAAACCCTCCCTCACCCTCCCTGGTTCCTTCTGACAAGCTCTAGGTGCAGGGTTGCAGAGCCCAGTGATAAGGGGTCAGGGGTCATGGCCTGGGATTTTCCCCCTTATACTAACAGTCCTTAATAGGGATGAGAATAGGGGGTACTAGAATCCCCATTCAGGACCCTTAGTATAAGGGGGAATATCCCAAGTCATGGCTTTTGGGCAGAGGGTGTGGGCATAAGCAAGTAGCTTCCCTGAGATAGTTTGCTTGATTCAGGGACCTCAGTGCAGGAACGCATCGCGGAATCGCTGCAGAGCATTGCTGCGACTCAGGCGAGCACAACATAGACCATGACAGTCCAGAAAGTTGCTCCTGTTCAGGGGAAAAAGCAGCCCCGAATCACCCCTTATAAGGTCCCTTGTAAGGGGGTTCCTGCTTGAGTCCTTTGATCCTGATGTGCTGACCCTACTTGAAGGTTCATGGGAGCTAGAGATATACGTACCCCAAATTATGGGTTGTAGCCAAATATGACCAAAGTTATTCTGCTTGTAGCCCTACCTGTAGCAACCACCAAGCATCATCTTGCCGATTTGGTTTGAAGCTGGACGCTCTTGTACCAAAACAAAACAACATAGCAGTCCATAAACTGCAAGCCCTAAACCCGAAGCCCCCTACCTCACCCCCCCCCCCCCCCAAAAAAAAAAAAAAAAAAACAGCAACAAGTCGGGGCAGCAGAGCTTAGTTAGGGTTTAGGGTTTAAGGGTGTAGGGTTTAAGACCCCAAATCCTAAACCCGCACAGTGAGGGGCTCCTACTGACACCTCCGACTTCTTCTCGTTCACCCACGAGGGCAGCGCACTGGTGAAGGCCTCTGTGCCGTGCCCTATACCAGCCATGAAACCCTAGGCCCTTAACCCCATAAACCCCATAAAAACAATTAAGGGTTTAGGGTTTAGGGTTTGGGGTAATTGACCCAAATTCTAAACTGCCGGATCGTAAGAGACCTCGGCGTGCAACTCGTAAAGGTTTGCATGGTGAACCCTGCGTGGCCTCTTGAGCAGCCAAAACCAAACTTGAGCCCAACCCCAGACCTTGCTTTCACGATGTGGTCTGAAGGAGAGCAGAAACATTCCCTAAACCCTAAAACCTAAACCCTAAACCCTAAACCCTCAACCCTAAACCGATGACTTTCAGGAGCGTGGAGTTCTCTCCCTCTCCGTCTGGGGAGCTTGGATGGCCCAAAAGCCTTCCTTATGCCTTGTTTGAAACATCTTAAATGGGATCCTGCCAAACCTCGTAAGGAAAATATACGATACCCCAAGAGCCTAGGGAGATATACCCAGGGCTAGTGACGGCTACTTGGAGGTTCATGGTACTTACTAACCAATTCTAGCTGTACTTATAACTGTACGTACTTACAACCACATTAGGGCACACAAGGGGCTTCTAAGTGGGTTACAAGTACAGTTATAAGTACAGTTATAAGTACAGTCATAAGTACCATGAACCTCCAAGTAGTGTGCGAAATCAGAACAAGAACGTAGGCTAAGGAGCTCCGGTGGTTGGTCTCAGGGTGCTATGAAGGACATCGTTCCTTCAGTGTGTAAAAGAAGCCTCTAGGGTTTAGGGTTGAGGGTTGATAGGGTTTATAGGGTTTATAGGGTTTACAGGGTTTATAGGGTTTATAGGGTTTACAGGGGCTTATAGGGTTTACAGGGTTTAGAGGAAATTTAGGGTTTAGGGTTGAGAGTCAGTTCCACCTGCCCACCCTGAGTCCCAACTGGCATCGCAGCAACATTACCAAGAAAGCGACCTTTGAGGTTCCTAAAGAACCCAATTCCCCTTAATTAAGGAACATGCCTTTAGTCATAAGTACGAAGGATCCCTATATAGTTTCAGGTAGATTCCTGAATTTAAGGGTTATTGGATTGTGTGGGTTTGGTTTGAACAGGCAAGCCGGCCGAAGCCCTTGACCAAGCGCGAGTCGTTGCCACCTGCAACCCTTGGTTTTTCTTCTTGGTTTCGGGCTGTCAACATCAAAGCTTCCCTGGGCGCCAGGCGAAGTTGAACAGGACAGTGCCTTCTGCGTGAGCTTGTGGGATCTTGCTACACTCTGGGGCGAAGGTCTGTGTGAGCGATTTTGGGGGCAACCTTGAACCCCAAATGGTAAGCTACAGGCCTGTTCATTGATTTAAAGGGAACAAGCAAATCACACTAACGATTCTTTGGGTTTTGGTGGCAAAGGCCGTTGGCCTGGACTCCCCCTCATGGGGCCAAGGACTCTGCACGTATTCTGGCTATGCCGGCCCCCAGCCCGAAGCCCTGTAAACCCTAAACCCTAAACTCTTAGGGTAGTTACCTGGTCCCTCAATATGGGCCCTTCAAAAGGGACCCTTGCATACCCCAACCTTCTAAACCCTGAGCCCCTCAAGTGGACGGGCAACGCCCTTCCGCAGCAACTCCAATACCCCTTAATTGAGGACTATCCCTTGAAATATGAAAGGGTTCCTTCTATGGCTTACGGAATCTTGCTTCACTAAGGGGTAGTGGAGTCTCTGGGTCGTGTTCCCCTGCCGCCGGGCCACCGATAAGGGAGGACTGCGCAGTAGTCACCACGGGCACCGGCGAGGGAAACCTAAGGGTCAGCTCTCAGGCTAATAGCTCAGCTCGCAACCGCAAAAGCTAAAAGCCCCTAAGCTGCCGCATGCTGTCTACTTGGAGGTTCAGGGTATTTAAACAACCCCCCAAGTATAGCCATATTAGGGTACTTGAGGGGCTCTTAAGTGTCTCAGAAGTACAGGGATAATTGGGTTCTACGAACCCTGAACCGAGCAACGAGCAGGGTTCTGGGAGAAGGTTTGCTTTTTGAAGGTGGGGGGGGGTGGGGGGGTTCCACACCCACAGATCTGGGCTGAGTCTAAAGAGAACTGCAGGAGCTGCAGGGCTTTTTGGTAGCCCAGCAGCCACATTAAGGGCACCCTTGTTTGTTGAATGGTTGCTTTGTGAGGGAACCTCGAAACCAAACAAAGGGAGAAAAGGGCACTTTTGGGCTACAAGGGCTTCGTAGTAATTCTACTTTTCAGGGACATTATTGAGCAAGAAGCCTGCTCTGGAAAGCTAAGAATGATAATAAGGATGCCTTCTTTGGGTTGAAGAGACTTAAACTATAACCCCTAGAAAGAAAAGGTCACAAGGGCAACTCTGTGCAATAACTGATGATGACCGCCAGGGTACTACTTCGAACTACCCATGACCCGTCCTAGTACCCTCCGCACCCAGCCGAAGGCACGTCGGCTCAGCTACCAGGAGGGATATCCAGATCACGGACATCACGCTCAAGCCAATTACGGCCTCAGGCGCGGTTGGGCCTTTCGATTTTGGAGGTTTGGCACCCCTACAGATACAGGCCATCTTCGACTATAGGTGGTATCTGCTTTAGGGTGGGCCCCCACCAGGAAGACAAAACATAGGGGTCGGAGTAGTTGCCAATCGTATTCCCTCATGGTCCCTATGTAATTATATTATAATTGCCCCCATATCAAGGCCTCTATATTACAACATCCTGACAAGCTGGATCTACACGAGGCTTGACCTCGGCCGGGCTTCCTTGAAGCCTGAAACCCTGAAACACGGGCCCTGAACCCTAAATCCGAAATCCTCAAGCACATACCTTCAGAGTCGTACACCCTAAAGCCCGAACCTTGCATTTAGCACATCCCACCACTTGGGCTTCTTGTGGCCACGTGTGCCAGAAAATGCGTTTAACAAAAAAGCCGCGGTTCAAACTGAGACGACACCTCAATAAGCATCAAGGCATCACTCGCCCGAACAGAAAAACGCTGAACGCGCCAAAATTGTCACCACAGGCAATGTTCTGGTCTGGAAATTTGAATCCTGAAGTCCTGAACTTCACCCGCAGACACCTCAGACAGGCGGCCAGATACTGCAGGATAACATTGTCGTCCAGATTTCGGACGGCAAAGGGGGCGCAGATGAGGGCAACGGCCAGCCTTGCGGAAGACCCTAAAGAACAAAGGTCCGTGCACCCATATAGTACGTAACTTGAGCCTGAAAGGGGGTTCCTGTGTTATATACTAACCCCAAATAGTAAAACAGAATAGAATCCCCTTAAAGGGACCCCCAAAAAGCACCCCCCCCCCCCCCCTCCCCCCTAAACCCTAAACCCTAAACCCTAAACCCTAAACCCTAAACCCTAAACCCCAAACCCTAAACCCTTTCGGAAAACCGCTATCTCGCTCTCTGGACCTTTAGGGAAACACTCCCGGCTTGATCCCGTAGGGCCCACTGCAAGCCCTAAACCCTAAACCCTAAACCCTAAACCCTAAACCCTAAACCCTAAACCCTAAACCCTAAACCCTAAACCCTAAACCCTAAACCCGAAATCCCAACCTTCTTTGCTTGAAGGTTCACGGGTAGGTATAGGTAGGGTAACCCTAAAAACCCCAAACCCTAAAATCCTGAACCCTAAACCCTACATCCTACATGCTACATGCTACATCCTACATCCACACACAGGCTTGGCCCGCAGGTGAGGGAGAGAGCCGGGATTGTAAAGAACACCGCAGAGAAATAAGTGCATAGTTTTTAGGGTTTTGCTTTTAAGGCAAGCTTAACTCCCTAAACCCTAAACCCTAAACCCTAAACCCTAAACCCTAAACCCTAAACCCTAAACCCTAAACCCTAAACCCTAGCCCCTAAACCCTAAAGGGATATAGAGGTTCGGACTAAGGGTTTCGGGGAGGAACCGCGCATGGGAACCTTGCACGATGGTTTCCTAGAGTGTTCTACATACACGTCTACGAAAGTCGCCTGCGTCAAACTTGTCTAGAAACTGCTCACCCATCTTCAAATACAGGACTCTTAGGAGGCTTGATGCGTGAGGCATGCCTGCTATTTGCTGCCCAGAACCCTAAACCCTAAACCCTAAACCCTAAACCCTAAACCGCACGAACCCAAGCCGACTTAAACTGCGCATCTAAGCCCACATCCAAGCCACCTGCATCCCGGGAAAAGATTTGTAGGTGTAGGCTTTAGGGCTTGAAACTTCTGAAGTGTGAAGCCCTAAACCTTAAACCCTCAACCCTAATCCCTCCCTCATCCTGAGCCCAGGGTTCAGGTTTTGGGGCGCAACCCTAAACCCTAAACCCTAAGCCCTAAACCCTAAACCCTGAAGCCATGGAGCATGGAGCTTGAAAGCACCAAGCTGTCGCCGAAGGGTGTGGCCGAGTCTTTCCGAGTGCCGCACACATACCTCTCAAGCCCGCATGGGCTGCGGGTTGTGGCCATGGGTTCAGGATTTTAAACTTAGGGTTCAGGGTTTAGGGTTTACGGTTTAGGGTTTAGGGTTTAGGGTTAGTTCTATGTTTCGTTGAGAGTGGTGGGTCAACATTTGGGCTGGTTAGGCCTTGCGGATCCATCTAAGTGTAGTATTTATGGCTTATGGTCCTAAACCCTAAACCCTAAACCCTCAACCCTAAACTCAAGCACGAAGAGGTTTTGGGTTTTATGAGGCCTTGGGGTTTAGAGAGCATGGGGTCCAATGAGACCTTAACCTCTCATGCTGTTTCACAATCTGTGAACTCTGCTCGCTTCACCCCAAAAACACATGCAACGAACCCTAAACCCTAAACCCTAAAATCTAACCTAAACCGTGCTGCCCAGCTGCTTCACTCCCAAGCCGAGCTGAATTCCAGGGGCGCACCCGTAGACGTTCCTTGCATGGGAGGATGGGCTTGGGGTTCGGTTAGGGTTTAGGGTTTAGGGTTTAGGGTTCAGGGTTCAGGGTTCAGGGTTCAGGGTTTAGGGTTTAGGGTTTTGGGTTTAGGGTTTAGGGTTTAGGGTTTAGGGTTTAGGGTTTAGGGTTTGCGGTTTCGGGTTTAGGGCTCAGGGGTTAGGGTTTCCACGGAGAACTAACAGTGTTTGGGGGCGCAGGATTCAAGCCAGTCACAGCATGATGTAGTCCATGACCTGACCGGACTGAATGATCAGGGACATCAGGTTGAGGATGGAGTTGACATGGTAGCCTCAGGGGGGTTAGGGTTTAGGGTTTATATGGGCTAGGGTTTAGGGACCCTAAACTCATCAGGCTTTGGATGTATAGTAGCCAAAAACCCCACACCCGCACTTTGTTCGTAGGTTGCCGAAGAAAACCACGCAGGGATGTGAGTTCGGGGGTAGGGTTTCGGGTGTAACCCTAAACAAAAGATACCAAACACCACAAGGTCCAGGTCCCAGAGCAGCGCTTTGTGATTGAAGAAGGGATGCTTCCATCGTGATAGGAATCAGGGTTTAGGGGGATCCTAAACCCTAAACCCTAAACCCTAAACCCTAAACCCTAAACCCTAAACCCTAAACCCTAAACCCTAAACCCTAAACCCTAAACCCTAAACCCTAAACCCTAAACCCTAAACCCTACCGCTGCAAGGGCACACACCATGGTCGCCACATACATCTCGTAGGGAAGGTAGAAGGAGGCCAGATTCGTGAACTCGATGGTCTGCTCGAAGCAATGGTTGCCTTTTAAGGGCTTTAGGGGTTTAGGGTTTAGGGCTGGGGTTTAGGGGTTAGGGGTTTAGGGTTTAAGGTTTAGGGTTTAGGGCTAGGGTTTAGGGTTTAGGGGATTAGGGGTTTAGGGGTTTAGGGGTTTAGGGGTTTAGGGGTTTAGGGGTTTAGGGGTTTAGGGGTTTAGGGGGTTTAGGGGGTTTAGGGGGTTTAGGGGTTTAGGGTTTAGGGGTTTAGGGGTTTAGGGGTTTAGGGGTTTAGGGTTGAGGGCTTGGGGAGTTCCGAGCAGTTTTGGGAAGTTTGGCGAGCAGAAAGGGTAGGGGGTGGGGTCCGTGAGGGGAAGGGTCGGGAGTGGGTATGGGATAGAGAGGGGCTTTTAAGTTTGGGGTTGTTGCCTCAGGCTTTGAGAGCTTATACTGAGCCCTCGTATTCTAGGGGTGTATTTCGGGCCACCACCCCACGTACGGCCTCAAAGATACTTCATGGTCTATTGCAACCCTCATTCCAATCCCGTCCCTTAGCACTACTTGGTAGCCCAGCAACCATATTATAATAAGGGTGCCCTTTTTGGGGTTGCTTACTTTAGAAGGGAACCTTGAACCCAAGAGAGGGATAAGGTACCAGTGGGCCACCAAGACTAGAAAACGTGAAGCTGTTTGAGCGTGGCGCCTGGCATACATCGCATGGCTTCGATGAGCATGTAGCCTCGGCGCGCATATCCTCAAACCCTCGAATCCTCGAACTCTCGAACCCTCGACCCTTACCCCTAAACCCTATAGGACCCTAAACCCTAAACCCTTAACCCCAAACCCGTTTTCGGCCGAAGGACTCGGGCAGCTTCAGCCAAGGCCCTTTAAAGGCCCTGAGCCCCCACGAATATTAACCCCCCCCAACCCCCCCTAATATTAAATACCCCCCAGTGTAGTTATATCATAGCATATGGGGGGAGGTGTTTCACATTCAGGGCAGGGGGTTAATATATGGGGGGAGGGGGTTAAGCCAAATGCCCTGAACCTTATATAAAGCCCAGGACGCCGTTGACTCCCAGCCTTTTGGACGAGTCTGCAATATGTCAACTGTGGGGCCAGGCCTGGTGACATTTTTTAAATAGACTGCGAAAACCGAAATCCGGGCTTGGGTTTCGGATTCAGGGTTACGCTCTTTGAGGGTTCGTATCACAAGGATTCGAGTATGTTGGAGTATGCTAGGGGGACCCCATCTGCAGACGACGCCCAGGATTCGCATAACTCAAGGCACCCCCTCAACTAAGTAAGTACAACCATGACAATCACGAAGTCTGCATCTTGTTCTTTTCTTTAGGGCTCCTTCAGCCAATCCTCGATTGGTGCCCGGTGGCTTTGGGGATCCCGTCTTTCATGCAGAGCCTTGTATTGAGGGTACCCACAGAACCAGATGTGCGGAACTGCCCGAGTCCAAACCTACCAGCTTCCTATGGGTACAAAAAGGGCGTGGAGGTTCGTGGTACTTAATAACCAAGCTGTACTTACAATCCACTTATAAGCCCCTTAATTACCCGAATATGGCTATAATTGGTATTTAAGTGCAACTACTATAGTATGTACTATGAACCTCCAAGGAACCTTTCAGCTTGTTCAACACCTAAACCCTAAACCCTAAACCCTAAACCCTGAACCCTAAACCCTAAATTCAACCCCCACCCATCCGCATGCTAAGCTTCCACAAGCAGAGGAAAAGGCCGCCACCACCACCTGCACAGCAGAGGAGGGTTCCGCTCAGAAAGAAGGGTTTAGGATTGAAGGGTTAAGGGTTTACTTAAAGGATCAGGGGACTTAGCAAGTGGGGTGGAAAGAAAAGTAACTATACTTAAAAACACAAGCCCAGTTCAGGTACTTTAACCGTACTTACTAAGTGCCCCGATCCTCCGGTGGGGTTTCGGGTTTAAGTTTTAACTTGGCTTACAAGGATCCTTGTAGTTTCGGAGAAGAAATGTGCCGTCAACCCTCTGCCGGTTGAACTGACCGGGCATGCAAGGCCTGATGATCGCCGTGGGAGGGTTTAGGGTTTAGGGTTTAGGGTTTAGGGTTTAGGGTTTAGGGTTTAGGGTTTAGGGTTTAGGGTTTAGGGTTTAGGGTTTAGGGTTTAGGGTTTAGGGGTCTGAGGGACTTGAGAGCTGGTCTTCATGAGACACGAAACCTACCTAAACTCTAAACCCGAAGCCCTAAACCCTGAAGTTCAACTTGACTCCGAAGCCCCTCTCATCTCAGAGTAGCCGGGTAGGCAAAAGCCACGGTTTTGCTGAAGGGCCCAGGCTTTGGAGAACACACCGAAAAACAAACTTGCATGTCATGGAAGCCCAATGGACTCTCAGCCCAGGGTTTAGGGTTTAGGGTTTAGGGTTTAAGGTTTAGGGTTTAGGGTTTAGGGTTTAGGGTTTAGGGTTTAGGGTTTAGGGTTTAGGGTTTAGGGTTTAGATCAGTCCTGCACGCCGAAGAGTGGGAGCCAGCCGGCTTGCTGCGCTAAGGCAGGCATGGAGACAATGGTTGGTCCTCCCGGTGTGTGTGGTCGCTGGGACTAAGTCCTAAACCCTACACCCTACACCCTACACGCTAAACCCTAAACCCTAAACCCTAAACCCCAAACCCTAAACCCTAAACCCTGAACCCAACCCTGAACCCTAAACCAACAGCTGAACCCTAAACCCTCTTTGAAGCTTGCGGGTTGCGGGACTGAGGGTGCAGAGGGCTCAGCCCCTAAGCCCGAAGCCCCCACCCAAATTCTGGTCAAGGGGCTTCAGGGTTTTCAAAGCATGCTACGATAAAAAAGGATTTACCAGCAGTTTAGGGTTTAGGGTTTAGGGTTTTAGCGGCCGAGGGACGACACACTCAGGATGCAAAGTGTAAAGCAACGGTGGGGATGTCGGGACTTGAGGCATAGCCCTCGGCACGCTAATCCTGGAGCTTTTTCTAAGGGTCCATGTATCTACATGGGGAATACTTGGGTCTTCAAGTACTTCCTATAGAGGGACTCTTGAGCCCAAGTAGATAACAATGAGGTGCATGGACCCTGAGGGTTCTCTAGAAGTGTGAAGACGGTCCCGCCAGGTTGTTGATGAGCAACATCACCTCATCACAGGCAAGAGTTGTAGGGTTCTTAAGGGGTTCGGGGGGGGGGGGGGGGTCAAGGGGGGCACCCCAAGACTCCCCACTAATTCTTAAGGCTCGCTAGGTACCTACCCCCACTCTTAAGAGTACCAGCATTCGTAGACTCGGTCGCCATTTCCTAACCGCCGTACCTCCCAAAACACTATCGGTACACCCATCCAACTAAACCCGAAACGGTTAGGGACCCGGAACCCCAAACCCTAAACCCTAAACCCCAAACCCTAAACGCTTCCGAATCATGAGCCCTCGATCTTTGATCTTGTCGATACGTACAAGGCTTTCTGGCTTAGGATTTGTCAGAAGCCCACACCCACCCCAAAGAACCCACAAGTATTCCTAAAGTGCCCACTCTTGAGGGCCCTCTATAAGCACTAAGTGGGCCAACATGCTCGGGCCTCTGTGCGTCCGAAACCCAAACCCGAAACCCTAAACACAAAACCCTAAACCCTAAATCGTAAACCTTAAGCCCTAAGCCCTGACCCAAAAAAACCGAAGCCCCAAACCCTAAACCCTAAACCCTGAACCCTAAACCCTGAACCCTAAACACCAAACAGCCGAGTTGCTCCCCCAATCAGGCCGATACTCTTCGACTCCGCCGGAGCCTTGGGGCTTTTGGAGAGCTGGGGGGTGGCTTTCGTAGATGGGTTCTGGGGAATCCTAAGGGTTGGGGTTTAGGGTTTAGGGTTTAGGGTTTAGGGTTTAGGGTTTAGGGTTTAGGGTTTAGGGTCTAGGGTCTAGGGTCTAGGGTCTAGGGTCTAGGGTCTAGGGTTTCAAGTTTGGAAGATTTAGGGCTTCAAAAACTCGCGTTTTAAAGTCTAGGGCCTACTTAGACAGCCTCTGGGGCGGTTACTGAGCGGCTCGGTATTCGACTTCTAAAGGGTGACGGCTACAGGGTGGGGCCCCCTAGTTATAAGTAGAGTTATAAGGGCCCTAAATTGGGTTATAAGGACCCTAAGTTAGGTTATAAGTCCCTTAACTACAGTTAGTGTTTTGTAAGGGGGCCCCACCCTGTAGTGGGTTCAATAGTCAGCTACCGCCCAAGGCCTGTGAACCTAGAGATAGAGAGGCTGCAGGAGGTTTGGGGTTTGGGGGGGGGGGGGGGGGGCATTGGGTCTGCGAGTCGCTTAGGGTTTAGGGTTTAGGGTTTAGGGTTTAGGGTTTAGGGTTTAGGGTTTAGGGTTTAGGGTTTTGGGTGTTTCGGGCTTCAGGGGCAACGGTTTAGGGTTTGGGGCTGAGGCTCCGTGGTCTGGAGTGTAGGCAGGCCTTGGGGTTCAGTTCGAAGATTGAATGTGGGCCCGCGGGTCATGGAGTGGCTCAGACATGGGTCTAAGACTTGGCTGCACTTAGAAGGGTAGTTATAAATTAAACTTTTAGCTGCCTTATTAAGAAACCCAATAAACCCAAAAAGGCTAAGGATCTAAAGTTGCAGTAAAGCACCACATAGTAAGACACTGGCCTTTTTGGGGGCTCTTCTTGGCTGGTCACCTTAAAACCCCCCCAAAAAGGGTAAAGGGCACCACTGGGCTACTACCAAGTCTTAAGGCAGAAGCTTTGTGGCCTTTGGGCAGTCATCAGCACATCAGCGTGGGGTCTCGCAGAGTAGCCGAATGGCCCTCAAACCTTTGAAAGCAACTCCTCCAACCCAGAAGCTTGCAGGGAGGTTTTGGGGAGATTTTCAGAGCTTCGAGTGGGCAACAAAAAGGAATTCAGGGAGAGTTTTTAAGAACTTCGAGTGGATGACTAACTTCGAACTTCAATGATCGGAATCTTTCAGGGTTCTTTCGCGCCGAGGATCTCTCAGCGCAGCCTCCCACGCTGGCCGATCAAGGCCCCACACCCTGGCAAGGAGCGAGATGGGCACTCTCTGGAGTTGACTCGATAGGGTTCAGGGTGTAGGGTTTGTAGGGCGTAGGGCGTAGGGTGTAGGGTGTAGGGTTCAGGGTTCAGGGTTTAGGGTTTGCTGAGGTTCTGGTGTCATGGCAGCTAGTGGGTCTAGGTTGTAGGGTTCGGGATATGCGCTGAGTTGTTTAAGACTGCGTTTGGGTTCTCAAAGGAGGGCTTACAGGCTGCCGTTTTAGAATTCAAGTGCAGAGTTGAGGGGAAAAAACCTGCACCCTGTATCCTGCATCCTACACCCAGCGGCGCGTGTGTCAACATAGGGTTTCACTTGCCCCGAAATGCTGTGTCCTGATAGCTTGCCGCATAGACGTTACATCTAATTGCCAGTGGCGTCCCTGATTCAAGAGCGTAGGTGTACAGTGGAGCGCGGCAACCCTACTCTCCTCCCATGAAATTCTACGGCATAAATAAGTCCTACACCACCACAAGACCAAGAAGTCCAATCATCTCCCGTAGCCCTAAAACCCGCAAAAGCCTGAACCCTTTACACATCAAACTCTAAACCAGCCCTGAAATCGAAACCCTGAAGCCTAAACCTAAACCCTGACCCTAAACCCTGAACTCTACATCCTAAACCCTAAACCCGAAACCCTAAAACCAATCCCTAAACCCTAAACCCAACCCCTGAACCCTAAACCCTACCTCAAAAATGAATTGCCTGGACGCGCTCCGCGCCACGATGCTCGCGGCCCGAGGCTCGTCCTAGCACAACAGGAGGACGTCGGGTGCGTAGAGTTAGAACGGCTCACCCTAAACCCTAAACCCATGCCCCAGACCCTAAACACGACACCCTAAACAGGGTCATCAAGGTTTAAACCCTAAACCGTAAACAGGGTTTGAGGGTTCAGCGTGTCGGGTTCTAGTTTTGGGGTCTGGAGTCCCGCTAAAACCATTGTTGCTTCAGACTTCCAGCAAGAAAGTCCTTTTCAAAGATTCCAAACTTCAGGGCTGTTTTGGCGTGTAAGGAAAATTGCTTCTGAATTCAGGCAATTGGGTGTCTGGACCTCTATGATGTTAAACATCTTTACTTCGCATTCATGGGCTTAAGTTTCAGTGCTGAGGAGTGTAGGGTACAGTGGAGTTTAGGGTTTAGGCTTTAGGGTTTAGGGTATAGGGTTTAGGGTTTAGGGTTTTGGGTTTATTGCAATTTGAGAGTTCAAGGCTCAGGGCAGATAGTCCAATGCAGGAGGCACCACAAATGCAAGACCATCTCATACCCTCATCCTTAGACCCCGTGTACCCCCCCCCCATTATTGGAGCTTTATCTTATTTAGGCCTTTGGGCGGCTTGATTCCGGATCGGGTGACTCCTAGCAGTGTACATGGGTAGAAGTCTTGGGGTCAAGCACATACCGGACCACATGCCCAAGACTCCCTCAACCGCGTACTTTCTCTTGAGGCTCCCGAGGCTCGGCTCTGATGAGCTGCCCCGGAACTTCCGGGCCGGGCCACTCGGCATTCATGGCACTCGCCCGCCAATGCTGGAGCTCGATTCGCGCAGTGCGAAGAAGCAAAGTTCGCCCGGTCGCGGCCCGATGGAAGCTGCGCAGTGGCTCGAAGGCGGCTGCCAACTCGGAATGAGACGCTCTTCCTTACCCCTAAACCCTAAACACCGTAGAGCCTCCAGAAGAACCTAAACCCTAAACCCTAAACCCTAAACCCAAAACCCAAAGCCCTAAACCCTAAACCCTAAACCCTAAACACAAACCCTAAACCCTAAACCCTAAACCCTAATCCCTGGTCTGTCCGTCCACAAGGAGGGCTCTCCGATCACGCTCCCGGGGCCATACTGCCGGACCTGGAGGCTGGGGGGCTTTCAGGCTCTCGGGTTTGGGGTTTAGGGCTAGGGTTTAGGGTTTAGGGTTTAGGGTTTAGGGTTTAGGGTTTAGGGTTTAGGGTTTAGGGTTTAGGGTTTAGGGTTTAAGCTTTGGGGTTTAGGGTATAAAGTTTCGGGCTCAGGGTTCGGGGTTTAGGGTCTGAGGTTTAAGGTTCAGGGTTTATAAACCCTACACCCTATAAACCCTAAACCTTGATTTAGGGCGTCGAGGTTCTGAAGAGTCTGGAGCTTTAAGCATCGAAGGGCTACTATGGCTCTGGAATGCGGCCATGGGATCCTCCGCCCGACGGAACCCACCGTCCCCTCCCCAACCAGTTTAGGGTTGAGGGTTTAGGGATTAGGGTTTAGGGACAGGGCCAAACAATGGCTTGTCTTTTACCAATCTTGCCTGAAACCTTGAACCCTTAGCCCTCATACTTAAACCCTAACCCTAGACCCCATAAGCCCTGAACCCCATGAGCCCTGAGCCCTAACCCGAAACCCCATAAGCCCCAAACCGCATAAGCCCTACACTTGGAAGCAGACTTAGCAAATCTACTTCGTATCCCCTAGAAACCCCATTAAAAACCCCATAACCCAACTTGCTAACCCTGCTTACTAAGTCAAAAGAGCTTCCAAGTAGAGTAATAGCCCCCAAACCCTAAACCCCAAACCCTGACCCTAAACCCTACACCCTACTACACCCTAAACCCTAAATCCCAAACTAAGTCAATAGAGCTTCCAAGTATCCTCTACCTGCACAACAGTCCGACTAAGGGCCCCACCGTCACCTGCCAGGTGCTCGCCGGCTTTGAAATGCAGGTGTTTCGGGTGTAGGTGTAGGGTTTAGGGTTTAGGGTTTAGCATTTGGGGGGGGGTTGGGGGGGGGGGGGGGGGGGGGGGGGGGGGGGGGGGTAGGGAAGTTGAGAGTTTAGGGTCTTAAGGTTCTGGATTTAGGGTTGAGGGTTTGGGGAAGGTGTTTCGGGTTTTCGGGCTCCTTGCCGGGTCACGGTTTGGGGCTTAGGGTTTTGGTTTTCGGGGGATAAGCGTTTGTAAGTGCGAACTGCGTAATTGGTTTAATGGACCGGAACCAAAGTTAAAGTACTTAGAACTTCTGCGAACCCACTCATACAAAGAGGGGACGCCTCCCCCATGCAGATCCCCGAGGGAAAACTGTGTCTGCATGTGTTTCATAGTATCTAACGATAGTAACTAACGATACCATGTCTCGTGATGAGGCACTACAAAACCTTGAACTGTTGTCGTGTGAAGCCCCCCCCCCCCCCAAACAAAAAAAAAAACACACACACCCTAAACTACACCCACAACCTAGAACATTGAAGACGCCCGCAGCTATATTAGCTCATTTCAATATGGGCACCCTTTTTTGGGGGTTTAGCTACTTTATAAGCGAACCCATAACCAACAAATAAAGTAAAGGGTACCACTGGGCTACCAAGTCATATTGACAGACTCCTTTCACAAAGGACAAAACCATTGCGGCCATGACCCAGTTCGATGACCGAGTCCGACCCATAAGCCCCAGAGCCAATAACATCCCTAAACCCTAAACCCTAAACCCTGAACCCTCAACCCTAAACCCTGAACCCTGTACCCTAAACCCTAAACCCCAAGCCAACCTCTCTCTAAAACCTGAAGATGCCGAGAGCAGCCTGAGCAGCTTTCGAAGCAAAATGCTTGACAGGTTGTAAAAGGCGCAGCTCGGCATCGGGTTTGGAACAACTTAGACTTAGACATACCCCATCAGCCCGAAGCCCTTAACATCCCTAGACCCTAAACCCTAAACCCGAAACCCTAAACCCCAAATCCTAAACCCTAAACCAACCTCTCTAAACCCTTAGAAAACCCACAGCAGCAAGCACCGCCTCTCGGCCGTCGCTGCGCTTGAGGACCACGTCGAAGAGCCCCTCGCGGACGATGAACATGCTTTGGCTCACCTTTTTTGGGGTTCAGGATTTGGGGTTGAAGGGTTTGGGGTTTAGGGGTTTGGGGGGTTTAAGGGCGTTTGGGCTGTAGGGGGGCCCTTTGGAGATCGCTTTCTCAGACATGGCATCCTGCTAAGGACCGTTGTTGGCAACGGTGATTCAAAACCGGCAGGCGGAAGGCCGTTTAGTCTTGCAGCAAAATAGAACTGTAAACAGCAAGAGTGGGTTTACAATTTTGGCTTGAGGGTCTCCAGGTCGTGAGCATACATATCGACATTCCCTCAACGACAGTCATGTTGGCAAGGACCTGGGGGCACCTCTCTGAATGATTGAAGAGAAAGCAAGATGCTAAACGACAGGCCTTACTTGCGGTAGAGTTTAGGGTTTAGGGTTTAGTGTTTAGGGTTGAGGGTTCAGGGTAAGTTTAAGGTTTAAGGTTTAAGGTTTAGGCTCTTGGGATGCCGCCATGCGGCCTGGCCCTGCGACACCAGCATCTCGTTTTGCCTCACGTCGCGCAGCTTCCTTGGCTCCAGAATTGAGCAACACAAAGCCCTCGAAGCCTCCAAAATCCCACACCCCTCCGGTTCAGTGATTACAACATTACTCTGTCTGATTTTTGGTCGTTTCATCTAAGCCTAAACCCTCAAGCCCTTCAACCTCTATGCCTGGAAGTCCGGAATTTCCGGAATTTTTGCCGTGTAGGCCAACCCTCAACCCATCCATCACGCGATGAGGACGAGCGTCATGGCTCCCACGACATTCCAGATGAGCTCCTGGCTTGGGACAGGGTTGCAGGGGGTTTAGGGTGTAATTAGGCGGGGGGGGGTGGGTGGAGGGATGATGTAGGGGTTTAAAGTCTAGGATGTAGGGCTTGGGGTTTAGGATGTGGGGGTTTGGGGTGCGTTAGGGCTTAGAGGTCAGGGTTCAGGGGGAGTTTGGGGGGGGGGGGGGGGACTTAGGCGCAGTGCCTGAGCCCTGAACCTTTAAGCTCAACCCTTTGAGCCCCTAAACCCTCAGCACTAAACCCTTCTACCCGGAAACAACCGTAAACCCTAAACCCTAAACCCTAAACCCTACACCCTGAGCCCCTGAACATCCCTGAACCCTAAACATCCCAAGCTCCCAACCCCGAAACCCAACCCCCCGCTCGCAAGCCCTTAGGGTTTGGGGTGTGAGGTTTAGGGTTTATAGGGTTATATGATTATAGGTTTGGGGTTTGGGGTTTGGGGGTTGGGGTTTGGGGTTTCTGGAGATAAATTTGACTAGAGCCGGAAGAGAATGAAGAGAAGAGCGTGGCGCTCACCCGAAGTTGGTCGTTTGTCACTTCGGCAATCATTTCCCCTTAGTGGCTTCCTGGACCCAAAAGGTAGGATTGTAGAAAACCCCAAGAGAGTAGACTCAAGTTCTTGTCTCTAGATCCAAAGTCACCTCTTGCAAAGAGGGATCTGAACCGGAGGCATTGCCTAGTTGCTGAGCACCCTGGCCCAAAAGAGGTTCACCTTTCAAAACCAGTAGGATTGTTTTTTTTTACCCCAAAGGTTGAAGGGTTATATACTCAGCTACTAAGATTGACCGAAGTAGAAGACTTGACAAGGAGGTCATGCAGGTCGAGCTGGCGACCCCGAACCCGAAATCCCTAAACTAAACTCCCAAACCGGCAAAATCCCTATGCACACAAAACCAAGAAAAAGAAAACAAACACAAACAAAAACCTTAACCACGCCCTAAATAACTCCGAAATAAATGCACAAAGAAACCTCCAAAACCCTAAACCCTAAACCCTAAACCCTAAACCCTAAACCCTGAAACTCCCGTGAAATCTCGTCCTCCCGGTGGTGGCCCATCGCCATCTTCAGACCCTCGCCTTGCAGCTTCTAAAAGGACTTGGGGTTTAGGGTTTAGGGTTTGGGGTTTGGGGTTTAGGGAGGACTTAGGGCTTAGGTTTAAGATGGTTTAGGGTTTGAGGCTGAAAGTTTGGCGTTTGGGTTTAGGTTAAGGGTTTTAGGTTAAGGGCGAGGTTTATACCGTTTCGGGTTGAAGACTTAAGGGTTAGGGCTTAGGTTTGGCTGCTCTCCGCAGCTCTAAGCGCTGAACCCCACACCCTACCTCGAGTGTGTTAGCGCCTTTTGGGTTTAGGGTTCACCCCTAAACCCTAAGCCCAAAACCCTAATCCCTAAACCCTAAATCCTAAACCCTAAACTCCAAAATGGTCTGGTTTCGGTCTGGGGGTGCTGAGATTTCTGACACTCTGGCTGGAACCAGACGAGTTTCAACATCCGATTCTGCGAAGGTGGTTCGAGGCTCTTAGCGTTTAGGGTTAGGGCTTGGGATGTTCCCCCGTATACGAACAGTCCTAAATAGGGATTGCAATAGGGGGTACTATGAGCCCTATTGAGGGCTGCTAGTAGAAGGGGGAACATCCCATTTTGAGGCCCTTAGGCTTTAGGGTTGAGGGCTGGGGCTTGGTGTTTAGGGGTAAGGTACACGGCTACCAAAGGCTCAGAGGCTTGCAGCCTGAGCCACCGATACCATCCCCCACATACATGTGTAGGAGTTGCAGCCCTAAATCCTAAGCCCGAACCCTAAACCTTTAACCCTAAACTCTAAGCCCTAAGCCCTACATGCACATAGCGGTAGGGGCTCGATCTCGGGTTTTGGGCGTGCAGTTTGTGAGTTCTCCCCCCCCCCCCCCCCCCTATTATAATCCCGATGAAGGACTGTAAGAGAAAGGGGGAACATTTCAAAGTAAACCTATAAAGCCTAAGCCTTCTAAGCCCAAAGCCCCACCAAAAAAGGGGCCATAGGCCACAAGACCAGCTATCAGCCGGGATGCTGGTCTCAAAGATGATCTTCAGCCACTCCTGTCGGGCCAGGGTTTAGGGTTGAGGGTTTGGGGTTAGGGCTTAGGGCTAGCGGGCGAATTGACCCCCTAGTCAGTAAGGGTTTCGGGTTTAGGCTCGAATTCTGCTTTACCCAAATTGGGTTCTGGGTAGTCAATGGTAGTCACATAAACCCAGGTTCTAATCCCCTCAAATAGCTAGTAATACCTGCAAGCTTTGAAGCCTTGAAGGGTCAAAGGGCCGGGGGTTTTAGCCGCCCTCCTGTTTGGGCACCAGAGTCTCAGGGGCCTGCAGTGGCCTCGCCATAAACCCGGGCGCTTCCAACCCTAAACCCTAAACCCTAAACCCTAAACCGATCCTCAGACGGTGAGAGCCCCAGCAGCTCCGTGGCGCTGGCACCTCCGCAGCTTCAGGCCCTTCTGGTCCTTCTCGTTCAGGAGTCTGGTGTTCAGGCAAACGACGTCTTTCGCAACCTCCAGCACAAAAGAATGCCCCAAGACCCGAGCCCTAAGCCTTAAGCCCTAAACCCTAACCCCTCCACCCCACAAAGCCCTAACGCTCTCTCTGTCAAACCCGGCCCCCACCACACCCCACCCGACCCTCAACCCGCACCCCCAAAAGCCCCGTCCACCTGCCCCTCCGAAGCCCTGAACCCTAAACCCTAAACCCTAAACCCTAAACCCTAAACCCAAAACCCTAAACCCCCAAGCCCTCGGCCTGCTCGCCCCGGTCCACCGCCAGTGCCGGCGACGGCGACGGGCGGTCGACCCGCAGCCGGTGTTCGGCGACGCGAGCTTCGAGGCTCCTGGCTTCATTGTAGGGGGGTTTAGGGTTTAGGGTTTAGGGTTTAGGGTTTAGGGTTTAGGGTTCAGGGTTTAGGGTTTAGGATTCAGTTAAAGGCTCAAGGTTTTCGGGTTTAGGGATTGAGGGGTTCCAGCTAAGGGGTTTGGGATCTCGAGATTAGGAAGTTGAGGGGTCTGAGCTTTTAGGTTTAGGGTTTAGGGTTTAGGGTGGGGTGGGTTTAGTTGGAGCTCGTGTTCTTTTAAATTTCTCTGTGGGCTGTTCTATGTAGGTAGTGCCAGAGAAAGGCAAATCCAGCTAGGGGTAGGGTTTGGGTTGAGGTGGTACAAGATTCCGCTGTAGAACCCATCTATAACCCCTATGTCCCTTCTAAGGGTCCCTCCCTTTAGTCCCTTGAGTTTGGGTTTAGGGTTGTAGGGAATTAGGGTTTAGGGTGTAGGGTGTAGGTTTAGGGTTTAGGGTTTAGGGTTTAGGGTTTAGGGTTTAGGGTTTAGGGTTTAGGGTTTAGGGTTTAGGGTTTAGGGTTTAGGGTTTAGGGTTTAGGGTTTAGGGTTTAGGACATTCACT